GTATGAGAAGTAGAATGGACTTCCCGCCCAGGTGGAGGCGTAGGTAGACACACTGTGCCTCCTCGCACAACCAAGAGAAGGACAACAACAAATGTAAAAACAAAAAATAACCAGAACTGCCAGAAAATCGAACTGGATGGGAATCCAGCAACCAAGGAGTTAAAGAAGAAACATTCATCCAGACCTGTAGCGGGGGTGACGATGGGCAGCCGGGGCGGAGAGGACTTGTGGCAAGGTGAGGGCTGACAGACTGGGTGGTCCCACATTTGTGTGCGGATAAATTGGAAGGAACAGCTGGGGAGTGAGGCAGACCTCACAACCCAGGGCTCCAGTGGGGAAATAACGCCTCAAACCTCTGACTGAAAACACCTGTGGGGGTTGCGGTGGCAACGGGAGAAACTCAGCCTCACAGGAGAGTTGGTTGGAGAGACCCCTAAGAATAGGAACAGATTCACAGAAATGGAGATCACATGAAGGGTTATCAGTAGGGAGGGGGGATGGGGAGAATGGGGGAAAAGGTACAGAGAATGAGAAGCATAAATGGTAGGTACAAAATAGACAGGGGAAGTTAAGAATAGAATGGGAAATGGAGAAGCCAAAGAACTTCTATGTACAACCCATGGACGTGAACTAAGGGAGGAGGGAAATGCTAATGGGAGGGGGCTACAGGGCAGAGGGCAATAAAGGGGAGAAAAAAATGGGACAACTGTAACAGCATAATCACTAAAATATACCTTAAAAATTACAATAAAGATTAAATAAATAAATTATTACAATAACTCCCTTAAAAAGAAAGAATGTACATGAATTCTAGAAACATTAAAAACAAGGGAGGATGCAAAGACCTTTCATAGCAGCTCGGACAAATTGGAAAACATTTTCTGCTTTCACCCTTAATGATACTTCATTATAGAGCTTTTGCATTTATGTATTGTATTTGTTAATAGTTTTCTTTCTAAAATCTTTTTTTTTCTAGATTGAAACAATTGGCAAAAAGGTGTCTTCAAGGAGAATTCCATATGCTCCTTCTAGTGATATTCCCAAGTTTAGTCTTCAGGATCCACCTAGCAAGAAACTCAAAGTGTAAACATGTCATTTTTATTTGTAATTTTTTTGGTACTTCAGGATAGCAAATACGTATTTGCTATTTAATGGTAAATGAACCAAGTTTTTAAGGAAACAAAACTATTTTTTAATAATTTATAGTAGCTCTATGGGAATCTGCATACTTAGTAATTATGAGTCTATAATATTTTTTACATATTTTTATAATATTGTTACCTCTGTGGTTGGATGAGTGGCAAGTAATCATGTTGATTTTAATGATGTCGATTTTTGTAAAAACAAAAACTTCAAACACTTTTTACTTTAGAAAATACGTATCTGTAGGCTGCACTTTAATATCACATTGTAAAAAGAAAGGCACTTTTCAGTGTTTCTGATTGTCAGTTCAATTACTTGTCATTAAATATGTATTTTAAATCATAAAATTGCTTGCTAAATACTGGGCGAACCGTGTTCACCTTTCAGAAAGTGTCCTGGAGATTTAGAGGCTCCTGGCTCACCCGGGCGAGGCATCCTCCAGAGCATTTCTTGTCACTAGGAACTCCAGAGGAGGGTGCACTGGACAGATGGGGCCTTTTGTGTGCTTTTTTTTTTCTTTTGAATGCTTCTCATATTTTTCCTATGCTTCCATGTAAGAAGTACCCTTTTGTTTTAATAAACTGTCTTGTTGATTTTTTTAGCCTAAAAAGGTCATCACTAATTCATTTCCAATCAATTCAAATAAGATTAAAGGCAATTTTTTTTTAAACATGAGAGAACATTTGTACTAGGGTCCATTTCATTTGACTTCTCAAGAGGTTTTCCTCATTGATCATTTTTTTGAGTCCAAGAGCCAATTATTTGTTACCTTGAACTTGCATTTTAATTTTTATTATTTGTTGCAAGTTTCCCCCTTTTTCTTTAAATAAGAGAACCTAGATAATCTCATGTATAAGCTTAAAGACATAGGTTTTACAAATCATGTATAGTATAATTCTAAAATAAGAATTTTTGTATTTGCATCTGCTTTTGTATTATGTCTCTTTTTGACTTACATTTGATTGTTTTCTGTTTTATTATTACTGAAATGTATCAGATGTCCATTTGATGCTTATGCTCTGCTAAGAGTGTACAAACTGAGTTAAATGGATACAGGACTTATCCTTTAGGAATTTGCACGGTTTAGTAAGAACAGAGACAAGTACAAAGATAAGGACAGAAACATCTGTACAGATAGCAAATACACAAATAAAATATTCTGCAAAACCAACTGTGTGGGTGTATTTTTGTCACAGTGCAAGTAACTAATGAGTCATGACAGTCTGGCATTAAATAGGAGAAAGTCACTTCTTTCTCGAGAAAAGGGCATTACATTATACTTTCAGATGATGCAAGAAAGGGAGAGAATTTAGCAAATAGACTGGATGTCAGTAGACTATAGCTCATAAGCCAAGTCTGGCCAGCTGCCTCTGAGCTGAGTGTTTTTTATATTTTTATATAATTACATTTCACTTATTTTTAGAGATTTTATTTTTTAGAGGGGAGGGGCACATTATAACCCATGGGAGGGAGGGAGAAAAGGGGAGAAACATTGATGTGTGAAAGGTACATCAATAGGTTGTCTTTAGTCCGCAACCCAGGCATCCTTAGGTTCACAGGCTGTCATTCATTCCATTGAGCCACACCAGCCAGGGTTATAATTACATTTTAAGTGGTTATAGTAAGTCCCCAATTTTTCCCCTTAGCCTGAAAAGCCTAAAATATTTATTATCTGGCCCCTCAAGAAAAAATTTGTAGACCCCTGAAAGGCAAACACCTGAGTGTTTCAACATAAGATGAGCTCTTACTCATAAGATTTGAAAGTGAGGATGAGCTTATTAGAATTTGCTTTATGTTTCTGCTTGAAAATATTCTTGCACTCTGCTTAATAATTTCATATTCTAGTGAAAGGATTATAACCACAAAATGTTTTGCTAAAGCTGACAGAATTAGGCACTGGTGCTTAGTTGTATGCTTCAATGTTCAGGATTGATTTTTTCAAAAAATGTGTAAAATACTGATTAAAAAGTAATAGAATTGTTAAGTGGAGGAAAACGGACAAAAGACAGCTGAGAGCCATGTAGACTTGATGTTTGTGTAGGGAGGAAAAAACCCAAAGTAACTGGGAGGTAACTTAATACAGCAATTTGAGAACTCTGTGTGGAAAATTGCAAGAATGTGGTTAGGCCAGGTAGATGAGTTGATTAGAGTGTCATTCCAACACACCAACGTTTCACATTCAACCCCCAGTCAGGGCACATACATGAATCAACCAATAAATGAATAAATAAGGGGAAGAACAAATTGCTGTTTCTCTCTCCCCCTTCCTAAGATCAATTAAAAAAAAATGTGGCTAGTCTTTTCTTCCCCTACTAAGACAATTAAAGACTTTTTTTTAATTGACAATTTCTATTTTTCTTAGTCTTTTTTTGGTGGGGGCCAATGTATATTGGTGAGACTCTTAACATAACTAAAGCTGAAAATCATACATGGAAACGGTTTTTAAAAATCATTCATATAGATACAGGATATATAAAAAACTAAACCCTCTCTCCCACGAAGTGCTCTCCAGAAGTCATCTGTTACTCCACTTAAGACTTCCAGCTTTCAATTTTGAATGCATTACCTACTAGTATGTGGTATCTTGGCTAAGTTACCTGAAAACCTAATTTTCCTCACCTGTAAAACAGACAATTCACATCTAACTCAAAAACTTGTGAAAAGGATTGCATGAAACAAATGTTTACACCAAGATGTCATTGGCACAGGGCTGGCAGGTGATGGGCAGTCCTGTTAGACACCATAAGCTGGTCCCAGTGAACCAAAGCCATGTTTAGGTTCTGGAATCACTAGGAACAGTCATTAACACTGAGCATTACAGGACAGGCACTATGGTAAGTCTGTTGGGTGTATTTTCTCATCTATTCCTCACGTAATTCCTTTGAGATAAATCCTCAATGGTGGTGACATTTCTTAAGGTAATAATTAAGATGCTTTAGGCTTCAAGTAAGAGACCCCTATTTAAACTGGATTCATTAATAAGACATTATCTCACCAAACAGGAGGTAGGTTTCTGGATTGGCTGGTTCAGTGGTTGGAAAAGGGGCAGGGACCTCTGTATCAGTTCTCTCTTTTTTTAAGATTTTATTTACTTTTAGAGAGGGAAGGGAGAAAGAGAAACATCATTGTGCGGTTGCTGGGGGTCATGGCCTGCAACCCAGGCATGTACCCTGACTGGGAATCGAACCTGGGACACTTTGGTTTGCAGCCCGTGCTCAATCCACTGAGCTACACCAGCCAGGGCTATTCTCTTTAAAAATACATGCCTTTATAACTTTCATTTTCTTAATGCTATTTGTGCAACAGAAATAAAAAAATCAGACATCCTGAAATGGATCCATTACATCGGAGACCAGTGATGCATTAACTTGTCTGCCCAATGAAGAATTTTGGTAGAGACCTCCTGCCATGGTTGTGCATTTGAGTGTGCTCCTAATTAATGCATCATTGTCGGGGAAGGTCAGAGCTCTGCCCTGGCTTTAAAAAGTCCAAGCCTGTCCATTCTTGTACAGCTGTGCAAGGGCATATACCTCTACTGCACATGTTCACCACATGCAAGCCTCCAGCAAGACCCAGGCGTTGGGTCACATATTCTAGTCACAGTATAATGGTCAGTTACGCAATGAGTGAATGAGTAACAAATCCAGAAGAGATTATAAGTGATTCCACTTTGAAACAAACATTTCCTGTTATTCCTCTTTCAAGTTTTCAGATTGTTTAACTGGAGAGTATCCTGAGATTACAAGATGAAGTATTTTAAAATTTGTCATAGTTTACTATTACTTAGCTGTGTAAACAAAGGAATAAGTAGACTGCTGAGGCTGACAAAAGACTGCAAATAACTCCCAGTTTCACATTTGTATCAAAACAGCTTTATTTTCAGCCACTATTACATAGTTGTCACCAATCTGAAACATACATTGTGCTAACAAAGTACCATTTTAATTATTTTACATTGGGATTTCATGAAAGTTTCACTTGATAAAGTATTCTGCTAAAAGGTTTCATTACCATTTGCCTCCATTGTGCAAAATTAGGAAATATATTCTAATTTATTATTCCTGTCAAAGAGTAGATTTTAAGGAGGATCATTTCAGAGATGCTTAAATTTGAAACTGAATCAAAGGATATATGACCCCTGTGAGTTACATTAAAATGTAACTAATTTTCAAAGTTACGCCTTACCTTTATAAAACATCCTAGTGAACATTTAAAAATTCAAAACAGAACTGGCTCTCCACATTACATATTTTACAACATAGTCACCTACACACTTCCTTTGTGAGATGGAGCAGAAAGGAGTCAGAGTCAAAAGCTCCTGGTACTTGGGAAGGAGGTCCCTTCCTCAGGTCACTGCTAGGCCACCTGCGGCCACCTCACCAGAGCGCTGTGAGGACTGAAGGGGCGGTGCGTGTGGAGGCAGCACACCCTCTTCGGTCACACTTCCCCGTCGTGGACAGCATCGCGGTCCTAGTTTCACATGCGATCCTCAACGAGTAATCAGGGCACACCTCTTCTGCAAGCCCAATGTAGTCACACGATTGTAAAACTCAGCACTCGCACTCTTACGCCTTTCTAAATTATTCCGATGAGGTTACACTGTTATGTAAAGAACACGTGCTAATTATTAATAATCTGATCGTAGTCTCAATCTGTACTGGTTGTGTCCTCACAGTATGTCATTTATCAGAAGTGAAATGATGCACAGGTAACAGAGAATTAAGGCTTTCTAGAAGTTTTTTATGTATTTTTAAAATTATACTGTAACAGTAAACTCTTACAAAGATGTTTTACGATTACATCATAGCAAGTAACTGTTTACTGGGACAAAAAGACATACTAAAAGACAAATAAATAACTATCATTAAATATGCACAGCTTATTGACATTTTCCTTGAAACAAAAGACTGGGTTCATCCAGTGACGCACAGGCATTCAGCCCCCACCTCAGGCAGCAAACGGAATCAAGGTTTTAAAAATCCCTGTGATCTTGAATGTCTTGGTAAGTGTTAGAGGGCTTTTGTTTTTCTGTTAGCCACTAAATTTTTCAGGAAAAATTCACCTATTTAGGAAAAATGGAAATACATTAATATCAACTTAAAGTCAATTTCAGAATAATTATGCTTCAGTGTTTTTCTTTAAAGAAGATTTTCCTGTTCATTGGTATTTCTCTCCTCAATCTCAATGGTAATAATACCCCCTATATCACTGGCTCTTTCCCCAACAATGATTGGCCATTATTCTTTAAAAAATGTTGTTTTATCATTACAGTCTCTACTATTATTCTTTCTAGTAACTCAGTATTATAAAGGGTGACCCTACAGCATCTCTGGGTCTGCTTCTGCACGTTTACTCCACACCATGTGCACAATCTATTCCTCATCACTGACAAAAGTACTGCTGTTGGCACAGTTTATTTCAGAGAGCAATTCTGCTCCATTATTAGCCTAGATCTGATGTTTATAAAACAGACCTCGTCACAGCTGAGCGGACTCATCTGATGGAATCGCTAGTTTACTCCCCTCCAGGGAAGCCAGAGCTCTTCATTTATAGTGGGCTTTCTCTCCTCCCCCTCAGCTGTGCCTGTGCAATCAGTCAGCTGGTTAGAGGGGACAGGGTCACTCCCCAGGTCATCGGGGCTCCATTTAGCTGCTCACTATCACAGCACAGCTCAGTGCTTATTGGCAGAGCTCAGCACTGCAGGTCCAGCTTTATGAGGAGTCTGATTCACTTCTGACAGTCATCTAGATAGATACACGAGTAGAATTGCAAGCATCCTATCCACACACAATCACCAGGAATTCCAAGCTCATAACCTAGCCAAGTAATGGAGAAAATAACCCACGCCGCTCCTCATTCTGACAGGAGTGAAACCAACGTTTTTATGATCAGATCCTAATCCATCATCTGAACCTAATGCTCTACTATTAGAATCTGACATTTTACTGGTAATTTAAGAAGCATTAAAATGTCCATAATTCACTTCCTTATAAATGTTAGAAACTTAAAAAAAATCTCACAAAACAAAAACTCCTTTCAAATGACAGTACTTTCTTTAAGCACTCTGGGAAACTGAAGCCTTTTCTATTTTCTATACTTAGTTTTACCTCCCCAGCAGCACTGAGAAGAAGGAACCACTTATAATTACTGGTTTCCAAAGTCCCCACATCTTGTCAGTCAGTCCGCGCTGAATCAAATCCTCAGGCTTTTTAACTGGGATGAACTATTGTTACTTCATTAAACTTTTTTATAGGAACACATTAAATATTACTAATACTTGACCATTAATTTTTATAAATAAAATCTATGCTAATTTAAGCATATCTATGATTTAGATCCTAACACGTAAGTCATTTAAAAGATCATTAATAGTAATAACACAGTTTAGACATGTCTAAAAAATAACTAGCTGATTTATTCTTCACAAAATTATAATTACATCTACATGACAGGGAAAATGCTGTGAAGGTTTTTTGGATTAAATTCAATTTTCAGTTATTTTCTCACAGATCTTTTAATGGCCACTATTACCTGATTTTTAATCTCTTGGAAAATGCTTTTATTTTCATTAGCTCAAACTACTGATTAAAATAAGAGCTGAAATTATAGAGGTAAAATTTGCACTGAAGCTAGTAAAAACACTAAAGATTTCTATAAGGAAAATAATCCTATACAACTTTTTGTTGCTTCTGGGAGGAAAAACAGAGATATTAATTTTGTAAGCAGCAATGCTAGCAAATAGATATTTAATACTTTTCAGGGTTTGAACTGATTTAAAATTCAGAGTTTGGAGATGAAGCTGCATCACTGTTAAATGACTATACATTTTCCAGAAAACTGTTATTTTTTTAATTCTAATTCCCTTTTCTCTCTTTCTTGTTTTTTAGAGATTTTATTTATTTACTTTTAAAGAGAAGGAAAGGGAAGGAGAGAGGGAGAGAAACATCAATGTGTGGTTGCTTCTCACTGCCCTCCCCCGACACTGGGGGCCTGGCCTGCACCCCAGGCATGTGCCCTGCCTGCAATTCAAGCTGGGCGAACCTGTGGTTCGCAGGCCAGTGCTCAGTCCACTGGGCCACTCCAGCCAGGGCCAGAAAACTATGTCATATGCTTGACGGATCCTTGTCATTTCTGAATAATCTACTATTAAAACCCACACAAAGATCGACTTCTGCTTCCACCAGTGGCTGAGCGATTAAAGCAGGGAATGACTCTCATTTACGGAACGAACTAGATCTGAGCAACTGTCCCTTCGATGTGACCCTTGTGGGGCAATCTCCTAGGGGCGTCCCCAACACCCTTCCCCCTTCTTCTTTTTCACAAAAGATACCCACAGCTATCACAGTCTCTATGTGGAGAGTTACGGTCTACCTAAAACCACCCCCGCAGTCTAACTCACCTGCTTTATATGAAGAACGCACCAGAGGGCCACTTGCAGTATAATGAAATCCAAGTTCATTTCCTACTTTTTCCCAGTATTTGAACTTTTCAGGAGTAATGTATTCTTCAACCTATATTTAGAGAATTAATTCTGATTCCAGAATTCCCATAAATCATTTTGATTCTACAGAAAGTTGATATCCATGTGATCAGGGTAGTTTTAACTTCCTAATGTATCCAGGCACGCCCAGGTTTCTTATTCTTCCTCTTCACTGACTACCTGTGTACTGGTTACCTGCTGGCCACTCCATCAGAACATAATTACAGGAATTAGGCAAGGGGGGAGGGCCATATTGATTTTGTATTATATTAGCTATTCCAAAGGCCAGAGAAAGAAAAAGAGATTGTTCATAGGGGTTTTGTATTATCTACTATTGACTAATAATAGACACCTTTATTGACTAACAAGTATTATGAAGAATTAGTTACTCCTGTAACATTCCTGAGGACCAGACTGCGTCTTACTCATCTTGTATCTTCTGCTCAGCACTGTGCCTGGCACATGGTCACTACTCAAAAAAAAGTTTCTTGAATGAATGAATAAATGTCCAATAAAAAATAGGAAGACTGACTTCTTTCTTACTTCATCCTGGCTCTCATCTAATTCTAAAACAAATCACAAGATTACCAATAGGAAATGAATGTATTTCCCAAATTTTAAATATTTTTTTTGTTGGATCATTTAAGTCATATAACTTTGGGGATAGCAAATAAATTCCAGTGTAACTGCTTCATGCAGATAATAAAATGGAACCTGGACTTGGAACTCATTACTAAAAAGCCAGCAGCTTTTTGATTTCACCTGTGGACAATAAAAATTTAACTCAAACTAGCGACAGACATTCGGTAATTCACAGCAGCTGTACCTTCAGGTGGCGCTTTGTTGGCTGCATATATTGTCCCAGAGTCAAACAGTCCACCTCTGCCTCACGAAGAGCTAGAGAAAAGAAGCACACATTAGCAGATATTTTTACGATGCTAAAATTGTAGATTTAAGCATGATTTTCCAGAATATATTTTTATTTCAGAACAGTGTGAACTTGAACTTGGTCTATAATCCGAATGTAGAAAGCAAGACTATACTCATCCACTCAAAGGCATTTCCATCCGGGAAATACGGAAAGGCCCGAAAACACAGGGATGGTTAAGACCGCCACAGGGGTCTGATACAAGGATGAATGACTCCAGTACTGGGGAACACATGCGAGAAGAGGGGCAGAAAGCGTTAGAGCGGGAGTCTGTTAGGCAGAGAAGATAAAGAGAGCAGTACATCCAAGGCCTGAAAACACCCCTATTATAGACCAGACGTGTTGCATTGGGCTTCTGCTAAATGTGAAAGTTATGCTTGGGCGGCTATGATTTGATCGGACATCAAAATCTTTCTAGTAAAGCTATGCATTGTGGTAAAGAGAACCTTTTAGTTCCTGTTTGAACTTACTACTCTTTGTAAAAAAAAATAAATAGCTGTGAGCTGGCCACGGACTTTCAGGTGAAACAAAAGCTTTCATATTTGAAGTTTCAAAAAGCCCAAGAATCACAAAGTAAATGGGCTTATGGAACTATGATGAGCAAAGTCCAACACATAACATCATATGAGTGTTACGAGTAAGCTTCTCCTCAAAGGCTGAAATGATCCTGTTCATCTTTGGACTGCCAGGGCCGGCCAGAGCTCCTGGTACCTGGATGGCTCTCAAAAATTGTCCAACGACTGAACAAGTGGTCAGAAGTATGTTTTTACTTGATAAAGAGGTAGGAAGAAAAATGGGATACATTTCATACCCTAGCTTCCTGAGTATCATTCCACAAAGTCCTAAGAAAATATACTTCCTTTCCTTTTTATGTTACTTATAACCATATACTGTACTTTGTTCTTATTGGCACTGTGGAAAAGGGACCACATGCGAAACCTAACAAGCTTGGGGGAGGCCTGTGTGGCAGCCTTAAAAGTAACCACACAGGAAGGTCTGAAATTAAAACATTATAACAGTAGATCATGGAGGGCAGTCACATCCTAGGCCAGTATTACACCCTAACAGAGGTCAATCTTTACCTTAACTAAGTCTGTTGTCTTTTTTGCATCTGGTAATATACCTTTGGAATGCTAAGTTGACCCTTGAAAGCATAAACATTGTGGGGGGGGCCACAAACCCCCTCATTCTTATTGTTACCATGTTAATTGACTATTAACTATCCTGTACCCACCTGCGTAAAAGCGTCCACCATTTAACTTTTTATCCAAATCCCAGAGGTTTCCTCTGCTTTGCTTTCTCCAACCTCCCTAATCTGCCACCATTGGATTTCCTGTAACCCCCCTAGTGGCCCCTTTTGACTGTAATGTATAAAGTAAGGTGCTAAACTGCAATTCTCTGGAGCATTTCTCAATCCATTTAAATTTTGCTTCCTAGCAGTTGTCAGTTTGACCCAAATAAACTCACAAAAATTCTCTATAGGTTTGAACGTTTCTTATGTTGACAGCACTTTCACTGAGACTGTGCAGGAAGGACAGGAGGGCCTTTGAAGTGGGTTCCTGCTATTACTCAAATTAAACGGGAGCTCTCACTTTTCAATTCCCTTACCTTTCATTGTTGCATACACTTGCTCGTCATTCTCGCCTAAACCCAACATTATAGAGGTTTTAGAAATCACATCGGGCCGCACCTCCTTGGCGTGCTTCAGTACACGTAGGGACTGGTCGAAATTCGCCCTGGGATCACGAACTTTCCTTGAAAACAGCAGGGCTGTTGTCAGTGAGAAGGACCACGAGCTCAGCTAAGCACATAAGTATGTCAGCAACATGAAAGACCGAAAAGTATACTCTGGACACTCTACCACATCACATGGTTCAGTGGCAGGCTCTGCACAAACGTCTAATTGTTACTGTAGGACAGAAAAAAAGCTTCACCGGACCCCTAGCTGTTGACTTTGAAGGATTTTTAAACCTGGGGCAGAAAAAATGAAAATAAAAGTAATTCAATCTATGAAGTATTCATTGAAAAAGCAGAATTCTGAAGCTGAGAATGAGTGTTTGTTAAGGGGTATTCAAGAAAAGGGAAAAAGAGTGGAAGAAAATCCCGGTACTGAACAAAGAAAAAACTGTTTAACCTAAAACCCACATTTCAGGTCTGAAACTTTTACGATCATTTTTTCTAAAGACTCAGCTGCCCCCTGCTGGTGAGAACACAACATTGACATTTCTTAGGCGAAAAGAAAGGCATGATTCTGGAATTTTCACTGGAAAGGATATCGTTTCTTAAGTGAAAGCAGGCAAACTGGCACCCACTGGTGGTGGGATCCTGAGATACGTGACAGGGCTGGAACTGGCCGCGTGCCAGGCTTCAACAGGGGCCACACCACGAGGGCTTAAATGGGGACAAGGCCCAAAGGATACAGTTGTGATGTTAAATGAGCATTCATTTGAACACAAACGCACCTTTACTTTGTATAACTGATTTATTGTGGTGGTTGTTATTTTAATCAGAGACCAGTTCATAGAGAAGAGAGGAAACCAATTTAGGAGTTTAAAAATAACTACAATACTGATAACACAGAAAGTCTTTACTTTCTGAAAGTATTTCTCCACTGAATTTAAGTTATGCTCCCTAATGGTTATGATTTAGGGGAAATGATAATCTTTATCATACCTCTTTCAAGTTCTATAACAAAGTATAATATCTAGAAGCTAACAAAAACCACTGTCAAATACTTCACTAAAGTTAGTAAGTGAATATATTAATCTTGCCTAAAGACTAAAATAATTTTTATTATTTTGAAATATGAACAGTCATTAATGGGGAATTACAATCTATAATTATTCCTAAATACTAGCATTTTTAGGAAAAGGAAGGAAGCATCGTTAGTGTCTACTTTCTAAGAGATTTAAAATACATCTGAATGATACTAGTTTTCCTTTAGCATCATTTATTACATATCTTAAAGCCAAAAGCATTTTAAAGGTCTTTTTTTTAAACAATTACAAAGTAATTGCTCGTGTAATTTTTTTTGAAATCTGTCCTTTGAAAAAATAACTTGTATTGGCACTTGTAATATACTGTTAAAACAAGAAAAGATGCTCATTATGTGTGTGATAAAACATACATGTATAAATACCTAAGTATATATACACTGAGATGTTAGAAATTAATATTATTGGGCAGAAATATTGTGGGTAATGATCACATTCTTTTTGTTGGCTGCATTTTCTGAATTTTCTGTAATAGACACACGTACACTGTTTTAAGTTTACTTTATAAAAGTAAATTATGATGTTCTCCTTTGAAAAATGTGTAAAACATCCCAACATTACTTTACACATGTAGGCACCTCTGTAATTCTGGGACCGTCTCCACGTTATGTGCGTACACATCTAATCCTGACAGAGCAACTTTTTCTACTGCTTTCAGATCTCCTCGGAAGTCCGGGGTGAGACATTCCACAAGAATTTTGGGATTCCTGAGGGGAGAAAAGGTAAGTATCAAACTGAGGAAAAGAACTGACATAACTGATGCTTAGCACAGAAATCATTCTACTCCTTCTTTATCAGTTTCAATACAATAATCTCTATTTAGGACCCACCAAGAAAAGCGTGGACACATAAGTGTTTACATTTGAACTGTTATGTGAAAAAAAAAAAAACCCAAATCCAGAGCATCAAATAATGTTTACATAATGGTTAGAACACAGCTGAGTGCAAATAAATAACAATACATTTTGAGATTATGTAGATTTTTAAATTTTACTGAGGTCTTAAAAATAATTTTTAAGAATCAAAATATAAATATCAAAATGTAAAATATAAAATGTTTTTTTATTTTTTAGAAAGTAAATTGGGACATTTCTGTGTGAATGTAAACACTTGATTGCTTTAATTTTGACTTCTTTAAAAATTCATCAAACAGTGACCTCCTTCTTTCTTCTAGGCAAATATTTCACAAGTGCTATGGGTTTTAAAAACTGTTCTGAGTTGCTGAGTCAAAAGCTTTGCTTAAATGAAATACAAGCGAAGTGTTAATCTTCCTACTTACATCGGCTCTACCTATGCATGCAAGCAGTAAAATATGAACTAGCTCATGGAGTTGCTTTCTGTGACAACAGTGGGAATGACGGAGACAGCTGACAAATTTCACACAAAACTAGTGCAAAGTTTCTGCAGCGTCTCCTGAGAGAACAGCTATACCTACACACCTACGTATCTGTATCTGTACTCTCGTGGGTATGAAAGACGCTGAAAGAACACCTGCTGCAACAAACTTACCATTCACTAACTGCAAGGTGAGACCCATTAGTACTTTGTGGAATCAATTCAGTAGGTTGCAAACAAAAATTTTTTAAATGAACTATAAAAAAACTAAATAGAAAATATTGCAGGAATCATTGAAAAAACATTTACTAAGTGTGTATGTAGGTGCTAGACTAGCACTGAGCTATAGGAATTAACATAACTCCTTTTTTTAAAGCTTTTTAAATACGTGAGATTAAAATAATAAAAAATGTGGATTATGGGTAAAATCCCAAGGTCATATGGAGATAGATAAAATCTGAATTGACTCATGTATTTTTACAATGTGGGAGCTTATCTTACTCTTATTCCTTCAGATGATGATTTATTCAAAATCAGTGCTAGGAAGGCTGAAGCTTTATACTTCTTTGAAAATGACTCAAAGTTTAGACTAGCACTCAAATATGACATAGGGATTCTACGGACCAAAGGTCCATGGTTAAGTCTGTACCCCTGCATCTCTAAAATTTCTGCAACTGTGTACCTGTATGTTAATATATGCTTTTTCTGGAGAAAAAGACACATAATTTCCAGCAGATTATCCGAGGGGGTTCATAATACCACACAAAAGGTTAATAAACATTGTTTTGAAGACCTTAAAGAAACAGAATTTACATTAATCAAAAAAGTCCTTAAATTACACACAAGCAAATGCTGAAACCACGTACCTCTCCTTTAAGTGTGACACAGTCTTTGCAAAGTGCTCAGCTCCTCCATCCGGCAAATCTAGAAACAAGAGAGCCCACTGCTCAAGATGACGTCACAACTCAGTGAGAGCCAATTTCCGGAAGAGGTAATGATGACACACTAACCATCTCGATCCACTGATGTAAGGACAACGTAATCCAGGCCCCACTCTGCGATTGCCTTGGCAGTACTGTAGGGCTCATTGGCATCCAGTGGAGGTGGCTTTCTTGCAGTCTTAACAGAACAAAACCTACAACCTCTTGTACATGTGTCGCCCATCAACTAGAATAGAAATGTTACTACTTAAATCAAGTAGGCAGATGACCCTCAAGAGTTATTATAGTGTGAGAATAAAGTTACAAAGAATGAATACAACTTGATTCTGTTTATAAGAAATGTGAAACATTCAAAGCTAAGCAATACAGTTAAGGAAAACAAATGTAATGTTGTAAAACTAGAAAGAAAAGGAAATGTAGACTCAGAGTTAGAATAGCCTTAAGGGAAAAAGGGGATGGGACCAGTGAGGGATGCACAGGGGCTCAAAGATAGTGCTAACATTCCGCTTTCAAACTGTAGGTATCAGGGTGTCTGCTGTACTGGTATTCTTACAAAAGAATCTTTATAACATATCTGTATCTATTTAATATTAAGAAAATGATTATAAAATAAAATATTTAATGTTATCAATATACAGATCTCTCTAGGAATTAAACAGTAGGCACAGCTCTTTCTTGTTAAGCAAATGAACCAGAAAACACATAAAAAGTCAATAATCTGCTTTCTGCAGGTATCACTCTTTCTCCAAAACACTGCCCCTGCAAGCACGGCCACTGCAGATGTTCTGGGGCCACCAGAGTTTCAAAGCACCAAGGTAGGGGCTTTGGTTTGGGAGAGAAAGCTCCTTTCCCCCTTCACGTTGAACTCTCTCGGAGGGGACTCACAGCACAACGACTAGGCCCAGAGTCTCAGAGTTTTACTGAAACAATGAACTCTCCCCAGGAATCAGTTACGAGTCAGCAGTGGGAAAGGGGACCAGGTAAGGGGGGAAACCAGAGATTTCCACCATAGAGTATTCAGTTACTCCTTCCTTTAAGAACTGAGGTTGCGTAGCTTGGATCAGCTCCCTGGTTGGCTCTGCATTACCAGAAGGCGCTCTCTCATAAGAACCCCCAGTGCCTCATGTAAACAGCCTCCTGCTGGTACCACTCAACAGTGTGGCAAACATCCTCAGACAAAGAACTTTCAGCTGCACATAATTTAGGTTTAAGCCCAATACCTCAATGTTCATCCCCTTCTGGATAAATGCGGTGGACTGCACTGTTAATTCCCAATTCTTATGCCACCAAATCAAGGTAATACATGCCACCATTTGCCCTGTAACTTGCAGCCTCCCCTCCCCACTAGATGAGGGGCTTACGTGTCTATCCCAACTGATGTTTGGCTTGGCCACGTGACTTACTTTGGCCGACAGAATATAGCAGGCCCGACCAAGCAGAAGCCCCAAATGCGCATAGAGGGTTGGGTTCCCGTCTTGCACTCCTTCTGCTCTCCAGAATAAGGATACACCTTGAAGAGCCGCTGCTCCAAGGACAATAAAGCTCTGTAGAGCAGACCTGAATGCATCCTACTTCCTGGAGTCCAGCTTTGCTCAGTCAAGATCAGCTGAACCCCAGCCCAAAATTAAGGGACCATAAGTAACATTTCCAAAAATTAATAGGAGATATAGCTCAAGACAGCACATGATTAACCATCAGACAGATGAAAGACTCAATAACAGTTATTCAGAGAAGAGTGAGATCACAACAGGCTGTTTTTTTGTCAGTTTTGTTTTTCACACATTTTGCATGAATTCCTATGTAATGAAAAAATCAGAGGTATTTAATGCACATTTTTAGGAGAAAGACATAAAACACTTCCTTTCAGTTTCTAGACTAAGACTGTAGTGCTTGAGACGGGCCTTACCATGATCGTGGCCGTGGCGGTGGCGTACTCTCCCCCTCCCCAGCACTCGCCAATATTGGGGCAGCGCGCCTCCTCACACACCTGTGAGGACAAGGGGACTGAATACAACCAGGCTGAAAACATCTACCATGTGAACAAGTGATCAGGCATTTTACACAGTACATTTTTATAGCACATTTATGAAGAAATTCACTATTCAAAAATGCTGTAAGTTGCTAAACTGTATGTATATTAGGATCCCATCTGTAAGTTAGAAATAGTATGAATGTATGTATTTATATGTGCAAAGGAAAATGTCTGAAAGGGTACACACTGAACAGTTAAAGTGGTGGAGTTAACATTTGAGATTATGTATATGACATTTCACATTTGATATTACACTCTTTCCAACAAGCATGTTTTTTAAAATCCTCCCCCAAGGACTTGTTTTATTGGTTTTGAGAGCTAGAGAGAGAGAGAGAAAGAGAAAGATAGGGGTGGGTAGAGAGAGGGAAAAAGAGAGAGATTAATCAGTTGTCTCTCATGTGCGCCCCGACCAGGGATGGAGCCTGCAACCTTTTGGTACATAGGATGCTGCTCCAACCAACTGAGCCACCTGGCCAGGTTTTTTTTGTTTTGTTGTTTTTTTTTCTTTAAAGAGAGAAAGTGACACAGAGAGAGAAACACTGACTGATTGTTTCACTTATTTATTCATTTGTTGGTTGTCTCTTGTATGTGCCCTGACCAGGGATTGAACCCGTAGCCTTGGTGTATGGTGACAATGCTCCAACCAACTGAGCAACCCAGCCAGGGAAGCACGTTCTTAACTTGTAATATAAAACAAAAAACCCCTCTTTTCCTAAGCTGCAGGAAAAATCTGGGGTTTTTTTCACTGTTAAATGAGAAGCTAAGAAATTCAATTACTTTTTTTTCTTTCGCAGGGAAAATGACTTTTAAATATATTTTCATTACTGAATATAGTGCATCCTAAACATCTTTATTTACTTTCCTTGCTGTTATTGGTATGTATTCTATTAATTTTTAAGTTACGCATATGTAGAAAATGTATGGCTTTTGAATAAGAGAAATATTTAACACCTTGACAACTTACTGTATGGAGATTCAAATTCCGCAAAGTATTTTTCAGTCTATTGTAATTTTTCCCCATGGGAATCTCTGTCTTTAGCCATGGAGGTAGTCTTAACCTGAGGAAAATCAAAACTATCCATTAACAAACATTCCCAAATAATCGTACATCTTTCAAGTTACTTTGACCTATTATAGTTTCTAGTGAAGTTATTTTTTTTGTCCCCCACAATCCTGGATTAACTCATAATTCTTGTTACAAGACAAAGAACAGAGATTCGAATTTAGGCTCACTCAAACTGTAGAAAACACCGATATTTGTGTCTAATAGGCATTATGTTCATGTCTATCTTTTGCAAAGGCACAAAGTAACACCATCCTAATAAAAAAAGAATGTGGAAGTTTTGAACGTCTCATTTCCTGAAGAAAAATACCCAAAATTCTACTTTTTGTTCAGAATAAGGAGAAGTTCCACAAAAAGGATTCTGCTCTACTTTCTATTCTAGATTTTTATCATGATTATTAAGTGCAAAAAATTCTAAAGTCTGGAGTGAAGACTGTATCCTCACGCTCCCCTGGACTTCCACCTACTTGTGATCTAAAAGTTGTTGGGTCAAGTATACAGCAAAACAATCTGTCCTCTGCATGAAATTCCCTCACCCTTCTTTTAAATGAAGGCAAAGTGTCCATAGGTCACATGTACACAAACTTCAAGAAGTAATGAGTTAGATCATAAACACCCAGTTGCAATGTAAGAAACTTCACTTTCTGAAGAAATTGGATGCTGGACAGAAAAATAGGAGATGGCAGTTCAGGACGGGTAAGTTCGAGGAAGGCTGAAAGAAAATTGTCAATGGGCACACAGAAAGGATTCCACCTATTTCAGCTACTTAACCTATGTCGGCTGTTACTTCTTTTCTAATGATTTAAAGCTAAGTTTAACAAGTCTGATTAAAAATATACTCTAGGGCTTGGTTATATCGGAAAATAATGGACAATGAAGGAATGGGACATTAAAATTATCTCAAAATTTCAATTACCTTTCTCCTTTTTGGCGTTTTAAGTTTCCTTTATATTCATCCCAGGTGCTCTTGTCTGCAAGATCACCAGATACAAAATCTTGAAGGTCTGGTCCATTCTGTAAAACTTCCTTTTTTTTATCTGGCAAGGAACTAACTGCTCTGACTGGATTGCATAAATATTTTCCAAATACCTAAAGAAAGAGTTCATTTTGACATTTATTGAGGTTTAAAAATAATTTTAACCTATTTAATACCCACTATTCTCATTCCCCCTGTAGACACCAAAATCCGAGGATACTCAAGTCCCCTATATAAAATGGCCTGAATCAACGCATACAATCCTACCTTCCTATCGCAACTCGCAAACGCAGATCGAAAACAGTACTGTTAAACAGTACATTTTTAAAAAGCTCCCTATAACTGGACCTCTGCAGTTCAGGTCCACGTTGTACAAGAGTCAACTGTACATAAGAAACCACTGGCTTCTAGATCTAAACGCAAACAGGACAAGATAGCCCAAACACTGTAATATTCATGAGTCACTACATCTAACGCAAAAGAACCTTCGACGACTCAAAACGAGCCCCTGCTAATAGTGCTGCACAAGGACGGTTGCTACAGCACTTGCCTGTCTCCGGGAAAGCTTTGAGCACAGGTGTGTGTTCTCAGCGTGCAGAGTAGTGTCTAGGACAGTTTAATAGAACACAAAATAGTAAGGGAGTGCTCAACCCAGTGCTCCTATAATATAATGTTCTCACAAATACAGGGTACAAATCACTGATAAACAGAAAGAAAAGCTCTCGGCGCTGGTCAGAGGACCTACAAACAAACCAATACTAGAGACTTTACTACACAGGGATGTCGGGAGAATAAATGATACTACATGAAAAAAAGTTGAGAACAGTGCCTGGGTAGAAGTAATTGCTCAGTGAGTGCTGGCTTTATTACTGGGCGCACTCAACAGCTGGGAATCCCTCACCCTACGCCCGCAAATCCCTCCACTCACCCTGGGCCTCACGGTGCGGACGACGATCCCGCAGCGTAGAGACATCTCCTTCTAGCTTTCTAACAGCGTCTAGGGATCTAATTCCCAGGAATAGTCAGGGCGACACACCGTCTCACAATTGATGACAGGTACTCAAACCACCTTTGACCCGGTAGAACTTTAAGCTGCTTCGCGATTGGTTGCTTTAGTCTAGTGGCGTCGCGTGCTCTTGACGCCATACGCAAGGCCCTTACGGCTACAAGAGCGTGATGACGAAAGACGCCCTCTCTTTGCCACTTCTCCTGCGAGGTGAGGTTATGTCTGTAGTCCGTGGGCCCTAGGAATCTGAAGCCATCGGCGCGGGGAAAACCAGCGGTGCCGATCTGGCTCTCGGAGGCTTTATCTTGGTTGTCCCTCGGGGCAGTTAGGCCCCAGGTGGGTCTGGCGGCACTGGGATTCCAGCTCTGTCCCGGGCTTTTTGGCCTACCCCCGCCCCTCAGCCTTGCCGGGATGGCGCCTCCCTGATAAGGGCTTCCAGGGTGGCGCTGGGCCTCGAGACAGCCGCATAGGAGTTGCTCCTGGCAGGCCAGGAAGCAGGGGAAGCCGTCTTCGTGTTGGCCCACCCTTGACCTCCCCGGGATGTTTGCCTGCCGGGCTCCGATAGGAGTGGAACTCTGGGCAGGGTAGTTCGGTCACACTAGGTCCGGCCCGGTCTTACCCGAACTGTTTGTGTCGTAGGATGAAGACCATTCTCAGCAATCAGACTGTCGACATCCCCGAGAATGGTAGGAGGCTAGATGTTTGCTTTTTCTTACGTCTGTACTGCGTGCTCTACCCATCGTTCCGAGGCCTTACCAGTGTGCTCTCTCCTAGTCGACATCACCCTGAAGGGGCGCACAGTTATTGTGAAGGGCCCCCGAGGCACCCTGCGGAGGGACTTCAACCACATCAACGTAGAGCTCAGTCTCCTTGGAAAGAAAAAGAAGAGGGTGAGTTGGGTTTGGGTTTTTGCGGTTTTTTTTTGGTGAAACCCTTAGTTGCTTGTTTGGAAGGTGTGATTTAATAGCATCACATTTGGCTGCTTTAAAAATGATAGAATTGAGATTTAATGTTTTGATTTAAAAAATTGGTGTCCAGAATTGTAGCAAGTTTCGGCGTTGGTGTTGTAGTGAAGTTGGAGAACCAATGGATTGTGAAGTATAAAGCTCTGTGCTAGTAGTCACTAGTGGTAGGGCTTAATACTGTTCAAGCTAGGTTTAGTCTGCTCGTGATTGTTCTGTTAAGAATCTTGAGCTATTCAGTAGACTTTATTTTTATTAAACCTAGCATTTTAGCTTTCTAAAAGGGAAGTTTGAAGCAACTTGTACAATGGGTGTTTCTGGGTTGTCATTCTTTTGTGAAATGGTGTACCTGTGATGAACAGTAGTAACGTTTCTGAATTATTGAGGGCCTTGCATGTAGTTTCATCTTTACAGTTGAAAGGCATATGCTTTAATTAGGCCTAATGTTAGAATCTAGAGTAATTCTATGGATAAATGGACTGTTTTCTTCGGAGCCTACTCATTGCTGGAAAGAATCTGCTAGAGTGTTTGTTCTGTTGCAGCTTCGCGTTGACAAATGGTGGGGAAACAGAAAGGAGCTGGCCACCGTGCGCACGATCTGCAGCCACGTACAGAACATGATTAAGGGTGTTACACTGGTAAGCAGGCCCACCAGGCAACTTTGCTTGGGAAGGGGAGGTTTGTTTTTCGCAGCATAAATTACTATAGAGAATAGATTATGCATATAGTTTGTTGAGGGTCTTAAGCTCTGGATCATGGGGTAAAAGGTGATCGATCTTATCAAGTGTGTGTGATAGGCATCCTTGGGTGTCTAGGAGTGAGTGATCGACGCAAGTAAAGACCAGATGGTGTTAGTAGGGCAGTGATGTTTTTCACACAGAATTAGAGTTACACCTTGAGGTTGTGGTTTTTTAATAGAAAATGTAACACATAAGGTAGGTTTTGACTTCTTGTTGGTATGCGTCTCACCACCAAGGCCCCTGTAGGGGCAGAGAAAGATGGGTCTAATTTCTGAGCTCCCTGTTCATTTTCCTGAAAGCGTACTTGATGTCAGTATTCTCCTTCCAAACCCCCTTCCCTGGCTTTTAAAATAAAATGTATGCTTCTGCCTTTGCTGAGATGCTTTTCTTTTCATTAAAACTCAGCCCTCCTAGAGTACACCTGATAATGGCAACATGTACTTAACACCATCATAAGCCCATCCTGTCACGTTTCCCCTTGCTCCCGAGCTTGGTTCCTGAGGGCGGGGACCTGTCTTGACAGCCTCAGTTCTTGCCATCTGGCCTACCTTAGTACCTCAGTAAACATTAGCCTAATGCCAGGGTAAAGGACCTCAGGGTTCTCACGAACAGGAGCTAGCATCTATTACTGTGGGCATAGGAGGTAGTAAAATAATGCTTCCTTAATGTGGTCAGTAATGTTGTAATAACTGTGTGGGGCCAGGTGGGTACTGGAAATACTGGGGGACCACTCTGTAAAGCATATGATTGTCTGACCACTGTGCTGTACACCTGGACCTAACACAAATTAATATTGAGAGTAAACTGTAATGGAAGAAAATTGTTTTTTAAAAATAGTGCTTCGTTATGGAGCTTTACAGTCCAGTGAGGGGATAGTGAGACAGATGTTTGTGTATAAAAGTGTCATAAGGCTTGATTCAGGTGACAGTTATAAAACCTTGACAATGAGTGCTATGTGAGGATTGTTGCATTTAAAATTTAAGTAAGACATAAGTATCCTACAGAATTTAAAAATTGGATTTCTTTCACATTTCAAATTGTTTGCTTACTGTAGGGCTTCCGTTACAAGATGAGGTCTGTGTATGCTCACTTCCCCATCAACGTCGTTATTCAGGAGAATGGTTCTCTTGTCGAAATCAGAAATTTCTTGGGCGAAAAATATATCCGCAGGGTTCGGATGAGGTCAGGTATGTGCATACTCTCAGATATGGCTCAGAAATTTTTCTTTTAGAGTTGTAAAGACTAGTGTTTTGGTAGCTGTGAATAAAACCAGATTTATTTCAGAATTGTTTGATTGTGTTTATAACTGTTAATTAAGGCTTTATATCATATTTATACCAATTGCAATTCTTGAAAGCTTTCACATTGGAATAGTTTGCAGGGCATAGTAGCTGTGTTTAACTAGCTCTGCAAACTGAAATCCTAAAAACAAACCATTTGAGTAGTGGTTAACAGCATAGATTGCCTAGATTCAATTCTCACGTCTCAGTATCAACATCTATAGGCAAATTACTTTTGTGTAGCTCATTTTAGTTATCTGTAAAATTGGGAACATGTCATGATTAAATGAATGAAAATTGAAATGCACTTAGAGCAGTGGTAAGACTAAAGCATAAGAAAATTTTGAAGCTTAATGTTCTCGATGCTTTTTTGTGTCATTGGGGTTGGGAGGGGTGGGAAGAAGGGATTTTAGTACCAATTTAATGACTTCAGTAATAAACTGTGTTTCCTGTACTCACAACTGTAAGCCTACTTTTGTCCCACCCTGTATATGCAGTAGAAATAAAACTTGATGGAGGTTTTATGCAGCTAAAATGCATTTGCTGGATACCATGTTCTCATACTCCTTAATTGAATCAGAGTCTAACTACTCTAGGAGAGATTCACGCAGGAACACACACAAGATTTTGGCCCAGATGAATCAACTGTAAAACCAAAACTGCTTTTGAGAAGTTTTATTTTGTCTGTGGAATTTTAAATGGAATAAATTGCCACTTGATTTAAATATTTTTAAGAATTTATTTTTATATATTCCAGAGAGGAGAAGGGAGGGAGAAAAACATCGGTATGTGAAAGAAACGTTGATTGGTTGCCTCTTGTACATGCCCCTACCAGGGACTGAATCTGCAACTTTTCAATTTGTGGACTGATGCCCAGCCAACTGAGCTGCACTGTCCAGGGCTTGATTTACATATTTTTAAATTAAACATTTTTTCTGCAGATCTGATTTTGTGTTGACACTATGCAAATATCCTCTCCCCTTTTAGGTGTTGCTTGTTCAGTATCTCAGGCCCAGAAAGATGAGTTGATTCTGGAAGGAAATGACATTGAACTTGTATCAAATTCAGGTTTGTGTGTTTATTATGCCTATAAAATTTTGTCTAAGTGTTGTAGTTGGATATATGGTAAGCCCTTTTAATTATGGGAATTAAAATCTTCCCCCAAAATAGATTTTAAGATGGATTTGGCTAATAAAGTAATTGTTTTATTTCTTATAGCTGCTTTAATTCAGCAAGCCACAACAGTTAAAAACAAGGATATCAGAAAATTTTTGGATGGTATCTATGTTTCTGAAAAAGGAACAGTTCAGCAGGCTGATGAATAAGGTCTAAGGTAGGTTCTTGTAGTGTCTAAATTTTATTGCTACTTTAGTTGGGTGGGGGGATCTTAATTGACTGAGACTTAAACGAGCTGTCCTCATGGGAGAAAATGAAAAGTTGCATTCCAAAACAGTGAATGTGGCAGAATAAGAGATGGAATTGCACACATTTTAAATATGAATCTAAGTGTTTTCCAGTAGAGCATTTCTAAGCAAGTGTTTCGATGGAGATTTATAGATATTTTTCTTTCTTTTTACAGTTGTCCAGCTATAGAAACAACAGGATGCTGAATGAGTCCTCACATTTACTTGTGATATTCCTTACATTTGTTTGTGTAAGGAATACAAAGATGAAATAAAAGCCGTGTATTGATTTGGGACTTTTTTCTTAAATTGATCATTCTTTCCAGCTATTTGGCAAGTAAACAATTAAGTTTCTAGTAAGATTTCATGGGAGAAGCTGTTTCTTTTTTGAAGGTATATCAGGGGTGTTTCAGGCAAGAAGAATATGGTACCAGTGACAGGCTACACTACATGGCTGCTAATCTTTGGATGCAGAATTTGGGGGAGGGTGCCCTGAAGGTACCTAATTTTGCAGAGGTATGAATTTGAATGTCTGTTTACCAGTGACCTACTGTGAAAAAGCAGCTGGGGTGTGAAAGTGATATAGCATTAGAAATATTTGTAGGCACAATTAAACACACAAACCTGACTTTGGTACAAGTGGAGTTAATTTGTGTTTGGGATCAACATTATTGCTGTGGCCCGGGGTCCTCTCCGTGTTATGGACCCTCTTCTCTCCTGCATCAGCCACGTGTTCCCATATCCCAGTCCTTGGTGTTTTAAAAAGCTGATAACCCTTCCATATCTCATATCACATGTCACACTTCAAATATGAAATAATCTTTGGTTTGATGATGATAGTGGTTAAGTGTTTAAGAAATGGATGAAATGATAAATCTAAGATTTGCTTTGAGATATTTGAGGTGGGTTTGGGGTAGGCATCGGATGGGATTTTAGGTGAAACGTTATTTCTAAGTTGCTAATTTGTGGAGGCTGAAGGAGGATTCATTGTATTCCTACTTACATAAAGTTGTGAAATTTTTCATAATGTAGAAATGAAACACATCCTCTGTATTTTACTGGAATTAGTATTATAGCTTCTGAACTGACTTTTTTGTTCATCGATATTGTTGCCTCTAAACCTTCAAGTTATCTTTCCCTTTGGAAGTTGTCTTTGGATTGACAAGTTACCTTCAAGTTTCAGAAAGGCCCATCTTGACCACCCTGTTGTGCTCGCTCCTCACCCCAGCCCAGCACACCCTTAGCCTGTTGCACCTGTTACTGTTCATAGTATTTATGATGCATTGTTTATAGTTCACTTTGTCATGGAATGATTGTATGCTTTTTTCCCTGCTAGAATGTAAACTTAATGGGTTGCAGGAGTGGGGGGTGTCTACAGGGGGATATTTTAAATACCTGGAACAGTGTTTAGCACATAGCTATTTGCCAAATGAATGGTACCCAGATTGCCTGGGAGGTTCAAGTTGTAAAGACTCAAGACAGTAATAGCAGTGGGATTGGAAAGGAGATGTTTTGGAAGGTTTTGACAGGATTTCAGAGCTGAAAGTCGGGGAGGAACTTTCAAGTGGTAGTATTACAGAGGGATAGGTGGAGAGGGTGAGAATAACGATGTAGTGGCCCTTGGGAGTAAATGATTTCAAGAGGGGGGTGGACTGGCAGGCTAGGTGAGAGCAGGATGTTACCACTGGGGGTTGGTTGTAGCTAAGGAGGTTTCCATGTGATGATCGGTAAATAAGTCTGCATCTCCCCAGGGAGGGCTTCCATGTCTTGTGTGTCTATTATGGATAAACACTTCTGTGCTATTTTCCCACCTTTGATGAGTAGGAGTATGTGTTTTATGATGAGAAAACACTCAGGAACTTAATCGAGTGGGCATACAGCTTGAGACAATGGCGGGCAGCAGTGTGGAAGCAGCGCTCAGTTAACACCAACCCTCTTCACGCTCCACAGTTTGTAAAATCGACTAAATTGTTAAGTTTATTTGGAATAAGTTACATTGAAAATTAAACAATAGACCTCATTTTCCCGAAGCTCTTTAAATACCATAGTTGTGATATTTCCATACACATTTATCAAAGACTTATTAGTGAAAGATGGTTATATTTAATACACAAAATACTTCTCAAGTGCCAGAAAGGGAGGGCTATAAGCACTGGGTTTAGAGCTACTATTTGGGAGAGTATGGGAAGGTAACAAGTTTGAAAAAGGACAGTAGGTCTTTAGGCTCTAACTGTAAAGATATTTTAAAAATAGTGATGGTTAATGGACTTGTAAACCACGAATACAATAAAACAAAGCACGAGGTAGAGACCAAAAAAGCAAAACCTGAATTTAGTTCTAAATCTGTTATTCCTGTGGCTGACTGCATTTTATTTTCAGAACCCAGGTTGGGATCAGAATGAATCCATGGCAGCACAAGGTGGTGGGGGGGGGGTGGGGGGGGGACACGAGCCAAGTGATCTATTTAAATGCCTCTTTCCACATAGTTAACTGTGTTTAAAAGCAAATGACCAGTTAAAAATGTGTGTAGCCTCAGGCCCACTTAGTTCGCTAAGAAAATATACTCCTTGCATAACCTAAAAACAGCCAAGGTTGGGGGAGTTGGGTGCACTGCTTGCGAAGAGGATGGACTAAAAAGAAACAGCCAAAATTTACTTTCTGAATTTGGCCGCCCAAATAGCAAATTGATTTCTCATCCTTTTTGTATTTACTTGAACTGACCAATTGTGTTATTTCTTTACAGTATCTGAAACTTAAACAATTATCAGTTAGGATCTCGTGTAGGTAATTTGGCTTCTTACAGATATGGACTTGGAAAACAATCACAATTGCCTTAATTTAGGGTAGTTTCCTAACAAGTTTTTGAACTGAAAAGCTTTCCTTTTAGTTTTTAAAAGGAAAGTCTAAATTCCTGTAGAGGGTGACTGGCTAGTGAGTGACCAGCTGCTGTAATTTAAGTGCTGACTAACCTCCGGAAAGAAAGTGGGTATAAGTGGGTTTATGTGCAAGACTTGTTTTTCCAACAATTAGAATACGCTGAACCAATATTAAGCATGGAGTTCAAGAAAGTTCAAACTCCAAGTTTAGATTTCAGAATTTCCTTAATTCCACCTGCAATGTAAAAAGCGCTGACTCATTTAGGTTCAACATTCTGAATTGCATCCAAGGAGTCACAGTTGCTAGGTCCAGATGCGGCTGCATTTTATTTTTTGAGCGGCCTATACATGCCTGTGGTGTCAGAACAGTGAAGCTCCTGGGCAGACGTGGCCCTTGTCTGATGACTTGATAATAAAACGACATTTTTAAAGGATGTTTAGCTTCCCTAAGTATGCTAGATTGGATTTTTGTCACCTCACAAAAATCAGGTGAGGAAGAGTGATGTCACCTTGTCTAAACAGAAAGTTGCTGTACCGTGAGATTGACTTCCCTGTCTTTACAGGCATTTGGGTCTAGCTGTCCTTGATCTTAGTAGAATGATCTTACCATGAGATAAGTTATGGAGTTTCATGTTTTTTTAATTATTTGATAAAAGGAGCGACCTCACAAAATTAGGTGTTTTATAATTGACAATTTTTATTTCTACTGAAAAAAACTAAGGGGTGGATGTGCTTAAGAGTCTTTGCTATGTAACTGGCTACGACAAGCACTACCCTGTTGGGTGTTTTCTTTCCATTTGAGAACCACCCTGACACAAAGGGGGAAACGCCTTGTTAGAAGTGACAGAATATGTCCAGTGTTGAGTTTCAAATCTTTGCTGTGAAGTCTAACAAAACAAAGTTGCACTTTTTCAAAATATTTTTTATGATAAGTAGCTGTTGGTATTTATAAAAGAAAAGAATGATGGGAAATAGCTTATACTTCATGAAGCAATGTATCAGGAAATCCTAATAGCTTATTCTCTAGCCAATGAATTTCAACCAGTGTGCCACAAGAATTTTTAAAACGTGCAATACCTGATTATTTAGTTGGGTGCTGACCTCTTTTCCTTAGATTGTCAAAAACAGCCAACACAACAATCTGGTGTGGATAAATCAAAATTATGCCTATCTTTTTGTCAGAGCAGCAAAAATTATTTTTTAGCGTGTGGCAGAATTTTAGTAATTAGTTTATGTGTGCCATAAAATAAAAAAGGTTGAAAATGGCCCATTTAGGCAAAGCCTTTATCTTAGGATTCAAGAACTGAATTCACTGACATCAACACATCAAATGGAAAATTCATTTGAAACACACAGTAGAGACATTGTCATTGGCTACCACTGATTTCTCAAAAAACTTTTTTTTACAATATAGGTATATCTTCTGTAAGTTACCAGTATATATATGGAACTGGAGTGAACTTTTAAACTTTTTATCATGCAGACAGAACTAAGGTCCGTTTAGCTAAGAACTCTCTTCTTTAATGGTATGTGTTGTAATTTCTTTGCTTTCCAAAATTTTCTTCTCTTTCGCCTATGAAAAATGGCGATTGATAAAAGTAGAACCAAGGTGGAGAAGAAGCAACAGCCAAAGAATATCAGTGGTTTCTTCTGCACAAGCAATAAGCAGACAGTTGTACACTCTGTGTTTCTTTGAGTCTGACTGCATCCAGGACTACTGTCCTCAGCAGGGAAGCCACTGTTGCTGATGAGTTTGTTGTAAAGCTGAATTGAGGATTTAGGTTTGAAGTCAGATGTGAAGAATCCAAATCTGGGTTTAGATTTTTCTTCAGTCAGTTTGAATGCATAGTAACCTTTGATTTTAACTTTATCAACCAGGTATGCTGAAAAATATCAAGTGAACATCGTTATTATCAGAAGTAACCACAAATGGACTATAACATACCTTTGAATAAGAATTTAGTTTTCACCGAAACAAGGTAAACTCATGCCCATAAAAAAAGGTGACTTGGTGATTTTCATAAAGGGCTTTTTGACATTCTTTTATAATTGATACAAAGAAAGTGAAAATACATATAATTAAGTTTAGAAAACTTTGAACCAAAACTTTGATCCATAAATGATGCAAACACATCTGGGGAAAAAGCACATTTGCGAGTTGCCACTTTTGTCCACAGGGTCACGAGCAAAAAAGCCTTGCCTCTTTGTTCCGATTCCAAACCTCAAACGTGGCCTTGGTGTTCCTCTGTAGCTACCCTCTGTATTCCCTAATCGCTCGCTGTCTTCTCTGTCATTGTTCCCACTTCACTGAAAAGTCAAACCACTTGGGGAATTTCTTAAATCTTCCACAGCCACACCTACCCCCGCTGGCATCTGCACCCCTCCTCTGCCCCGTCTCGTGTGGCTGACCTGTGCATGCTCCTGGAAGAGGCCAGCTCCACCACCTGCTGGGTTTGTTTTCTGTTGCCTCCTCCAGGACAGTGTTGCATCTGTTCTCCCCTCCTCTCTCCTGCGTTCATTCCCCCTCAGTAGTGGGTCATTCCGGTACAAACATGCTGTTGGCTGTCTTTGACAGCAGTGGCTCCTCTTCAGTCAGCTTGACTGATTTCTCATCTCACTCCTGAGTACCGAAGTGTCCCAGAGCTCAGCCCCCTTCTCTATCCTTGCTCCCTTAGCGATTTCACTGAGCCCTATTTTCTTTTTTATTTTTTAAAGATCTTATTTTTAGAGGGCAGGGAGAGGAGGAGAAATCGAGGAAAACATCCATGTGTTCCTTTCGCACGCCCCTGCACGAACCCCGGGCATGTGCCCCAACCCCGGGTCAAACAGGCACCACCTGAGTGCCGGACATCGCCCAACCCACCGAGCCACACCAGTCAGGGCTTATTTAAAAAATACTGTCCATTTACTCTTGACTCCCAAATTGGCATCTGAACCTGAGACTCTTGTACCAGCCTTCTCTTGGACATCTGATAGACATAGTCTTGACATCTCTAATCGGATTCTAATGGACGTCTCAGACAACCTGTGCAACACCGAACACCTCACCTCCAAACCTGTGCCTGCCAGTCTCCAGCCTGGGAAATGGCCTTGGAATCATTCTTCACTTTTTCCCTCACACCCTATATCCAATCCTGTTGATTTTACCTTGAGAATATATTCAGAACCTAGCAGCTTACCACCACCTCTACTCTTGGTCATTTTTTTGTTTTGTTTTGAGATTCTACACAATGTTTATTGGCTAGTGTTTCAGGGATTTGGTAGTAGCACTAACATCCTTGGGTATGCCCCAGAAAAATAATGCCTTTTTTCCTTAAAAAAAAAAAATACCCAGCATCGTAAATAAATTCTCATACTCCCTCATTTTGGATCTCCCGACTTTCTATTTTCAAATGCAATTACAGTCCTAGTATTACTTGAGCCCCAGGGCTTGAAGTGAGGGAGTGAGGGTCTGCTTCCACATTTGCACGGAGTCAGGTCTAAAACTGGAGATGGGGTGGAGGCGCATTCCTTGGGGGGCCGAGACTTAAACCCTCAGGGCTGTGTGCCTTTTTCTCCTATGCCTGAGCCTCACAGCTCTCCCCTGGTTCCTCTGCACTGCTAAAAAGGCGCCCCCCACTCCGCCCCATGACAGGGGTCTGCATGGAACCATTATAAATGGCCTCTACGGTTCTTGCCTTTCCCACCTTACCCGCCTGCTGCCCCTCCCTGCGCGTACACCATGTTAGTGGCCAAGAAGCAGTTCGAGCACTTCGCGGCAATCCCTTCTCCCTTCACACGGGATATCCGTATTAGGACGTCAGCATCAGGGGATTTCTGGGACTGTTTCCTGCGGTTGTTGGGGAAGCCATTCCCCGAAGTTTTGGGTCCACAACATTCCTGAGACCCAGATTGCTAAAGGCTCACAAATAAAGAAACAAGACGGGGTGCAGTGGAGGGAGCTCCAAGGGCGGCCACAGAGGTCCTGGTCCGCACGCCGACAAGGTTGTGCCAAGCTGTCCCCCAGGTGCATTCAATGGCTTCAGCTCGTACCCCAACCACACATCTGCAGGGAGCCTCCGAGAAGCCAAGAAGCCCACAGGGCGGGCGGCAGCGGTGCAGCCAGCACGTAGTGAGCGTGCTCCTACCCAGCTCTGTCCCACAGCTCTGCCCTGCCTGCCTCACCCCTTCAGTCCCCTGCTCAGCCTTGCCCGCTCAACCAAGATTCTCTGCTTCAACAATGATTATATGGTGTCATCCTCCCCCTACAGCAGCGTCTCGCCGTCCGAGGGACAGTTTCTTCTACAACTTTCCCCGGCCGACTCCATCTCCAGCTTGGGCTGTCCCCTGTCCCATCAGTGAGCAGGTAGGGCTGGCTTTGCGCCGCAGTGGGGCCCGGGGCTGAGTCACCCCCAGAAAAGGCACGAGGCAGGACGCCCTGGAAGACTAGTCTGATATCTCTTTCGCGGGGAAGGGAGGTTGCCCCAGCCGGAACGGATATGTCTCCGAAGGCCGGACCTGTTCCAGACGCATGCACGCTTGTCATAGTAAGAATCAGTGTCGGTCCCTGTCCCGCTGCCCCGCCCCAGGCCCATTCTGAGCTGCCCTCCATCCAGCATTGACTGGTTGCTGACATTCGCTGGGGCAAACGTGTCCCAAGCAAAGACTCACTAGCTCACCATCTCCACTCTTCCCCTGTTCCAATCCACCATTATCTCTTATCTAGATTACAGCAACTCCCCGTTTCTTTTCTTGCTCCTTGTTACAGCTGACAAGAAAGAAGTTTTAGGTGTCCTAAATTAAAGTACAGCAGGCAGGAGAGCAGGAAGAACAGACAAGAAGTTAATCTGTTAACACAGCTGCAACCAGCAAAAGATTGCTCACATTCCTATATGGATACTGAAACTTTGGATCAGCTTCCAGGAGGCTATTTCAGCTCCTGTCTAAAAGGAGGGGTTAGCCCACCCCCAGGCTCTACTGCATCTTGCTTATGCATGAACTTTCCAGGCTGTTGCTGACAGCCAATCCAGAAGCATCAAAAATTCTCCCTCATGGACTCTGCACCTCTGCCAGAACTGTCTCTGCCACCACCCCCACACCCATCTATCATCTATACAGTGTAAATTCTTTCAAAACAAAGTATATCTTTCTTCCCCAAACCCACTGTATAAAAAAGTCCCTGTCAGCTCCAGGGCTGTGGGACACGCTTGACTTTTCCATCTAGCCCTGCCACTGCTACTTCAGGTTGCATGCCCCAGCACCTGGTCCTCTTTCTGGTTAGCATATGGCTCAGTAAACCCAGAGAATCTTTCACTCTTGTCATTTTTTGTTTAACAAAGTATATTCACAAAGAGTATCCTGAGTGATTCTTTTAAAGTGTTGAGTTAGATCATGTCGCCCTTCTGTTTCAAACCTCCCAGAATCTTTCTATCTCTCACTGAGAAAGAGCCACAGTTCTTACACTGGCCTACTAAGTAAGACCTACCTAATCTGCCTTTTCCTTTACCTCTTTGGCCTGATCTTGGGTGACTTTCCCCTTGCTCATTCTTTTCTAACCACTCTGACCTCCTTTCCTGATCCTCAAACAGGCCAGGCATGCACCCGCATCAGGATTTTTGCATCTGCTCTTCGCTCACCTGGATTTTGCTGCCTCACTTTTCTAGATCTCTGAAGACTTCCCTAAGCGCCCTATTTATAAGTGTAACCACTCTCCTGTCCTGCACCCCCGGGCAGCCCCTTCCCCCCTCTGTTTCCACTCCACAGACCTTTTCACTTCTGACACGCTGTTTCTTCCCTACCTGTTCATTGGCTTTCGTCCCACAAAAATATAAGCTCTATGAGGACAGTAAAGCTTATTTTGTTCTGTGGTGACAGAGTGCCCGGAACAGTTTCTGTCCACATTAGATGCTCAGTAAGTATCTGTCAAATGAGTAAGTTTCTGGGAACTTTTTGCTGCTTCAACAAATCAGTCATGAACATTTAAAACTATGATTGTACAGGGAATAAAAAGCATAAATGGTAGGTACAAAATAGACAGGGAGAGGTTAAGAATAGGATGGGAAATGGAGAATCCAAAGAACTTACACGTATGACTCATGGACATGAACTAAGGTGGTGGGATGATGGTGGGAGAGGGGTACCGGGTGGAGGGGAACAAATGGGGGAAAAAATGGGACAACTGTAATAGCATAATCAATAAAATTTACTTAAAATAAAAATAAAATGATTAAAAATGGTAACAGCCACTGCTGGGAAGAGAATGTGAGATAAGTGCTCTCAAACACTGCTGTTTATAACATTTGACTAATAATTCCATCTTGGGAAATCCATCCTAAGGAGATAACCAGAAATGGAGCCCTGGCTGGGGGCTCAGTGTATTGAGTGCCAGCCTACAGACGGAAAGGTTTCCGGTTTGATTCTCAATCCAGGCACATGCCTGGGTTGTGGGCCATGTGAGAGACAACCAATCAATATTTCTCTTTGCACATCAGTGTTTCTCTCCCTCTCTGTCTCCCTCCCTTCCCTACTCTCTAAAAAATAAATAAATAAAAATCTTTTTTAAAAAAAGAAATGGAGATAAAGATTTATAAACACACCTATTTTTTTAGTAGTTAAAACATGTCTAAGCCCTGTCCAGGTAGCTCAGTTGGTTGGAGTGTCGTCCCTTACATCAAAAGGTGGTGGGTTTGATCCCTGGCCAGGGCACACACCCAGGTTGCAAGTTCCATCCCCTGGTCAGGGAGAGTACAGTAGGCAACTGATTGATGTTTCTCTTTTCCCCTTCCTTTCTCTCTAAAATTAATAAACATATTCTCAGATGAGGATTAAAAAATAAAGAGTCTAAATATCGAACATTAGAGGAATGGTTAAGTACATAGAGATATGTCCATGATGAGATATGTAGTAACCATTAAAATAATGTTAACAAGGAACTTTTAACAATGTGGAACACATTTATAATGTGATATTAAGAAAAAGTTGGGGAGGGACTTCTAGTCAAGATGGTTTCGCAGAAATAGCTCACCTCTTCATACAACCACATCAAAATTACAACTAAAATATAGAACAACCATCCAGAACTGTTAGAAAATCAAGTTGAATGGAAGTCTGACAACTATGGAATTTAAAAAAAAACCCACATCCATCCAGACTAGTAGGAGTAGCACAGACGAGGAACCCATGTGTGGTAGATAAAAATTTGGGAGGGATACCTCGGGTGCAAGCAGTCCCAGCCCCACACCAAGCCCCCCAGCCCAGGGTTCCAGTGCCAGGAAGATAAGTTCCTACAACTTCTGGCTGTAAAAACCAGTGGGAATTGAGTCTGTGGGAGAAACTGCTGGATCCCCAAGCAGTTCCTATTAAAGAACCCACACACGGACTCACCTACTCAGACTCACTTCCTCCAAGCTCCAACACTAGGGTAGCAGCTTGAAAGGCACCAGTGGCACAATGGAAGGAACTGAAGTATCTGGCATCAAGGCAGGCAGAGGCTACTGTCCCTTTTCTAAACCTTCCCACCACAGCCACAGAGTCAGCAAGCTGGTGCCATATCTGAGACTCCATCAACCTGGCTAACACTGTTTGACCTGCCTTGGAGATCCCAAGAGACTCTTCCCGCACAGCTTATGAGCCCACCCAAGCTGCGTTTTCATATGAATGGTTGGAATTGGCTCATAATGCAGAGCTTCCTAAATTGTCTCAAATAAGCAACAGCTGGCTTCAGTGAGCCCCAGGCCTGGCACTAGGAGCAGCCAGCCTAGATTCACAGCTTGGCTTCACCCAGGAACCTTCAAGCTCAGCACAAGTAGCAGCCATCTCAGATTGTTTTGATGCTCTGGCAGAGTGGCCCCCCAGCAAAACACAAGTGGGGGCTGGCCTTGCCTTCATCACCCGGGAAACCCCAGGGCCAACACACCTGCAGTGGACAGCTGCAGACCATGTCAGAGCACCACAGCCCTGCCCCTGCACAGCTGATCCTCCATGGAGGACAGAGGTTGCTTTTAAGTGGTCAAAGTCAGTCCTTGTAGCTGATTGGCCTGGGTAAATCCCTCCCATTGATTTGCCAACAACAACCAAGGCTCAACTACAAGAGGAGGGTGTATTCAGCAAACAGGAAGGGTGCACCCTGAGTACCCAGCTTGGGTGATAGAGGAGGCTGTGCCACTGGACCCTACAGGACACCTACTACATTAGGCCACACTACCAAGACATGAAGTCAAAGCAGCTCTACCTAATACACAGAAACAAACACAGGGAGGCTGCTAAAACGAGGAGACAAAGAAACAAGGCCTAAATGAAAGAACAGATCAAAACTCCAGAAAAAGAGGTAAATAAAAAGGAGATAAGCAATCTATCAGAGTCAGAGTTTAAAACATTGGTTATAAGGATACTCAAGGAAATTAGTGAGGACCTCAGCAGCATAAAAAAGATCCAGTCAGAAATGAATGTTACAGTCACTGAAATAAAGAACAATTTACAGGGAAACAACAGTAGAGTGGATGAAGCCGTGAATCAAGTCAATGATTCAGAACATAAGGAAGCAAAAAACAACCAATCAGAACAACAAGAAGGAAAAAGAATCCAAAAAAAAGAGGATAGTGTAAGGAGCCTCTGGAACAACTTTAAGAAGTCCAACATTCTACTCATGGGGTGCCAGAAGGGGAAGAGAAAGAGCAAGAAATTGGAAATCTATTTGAAAGAATAATGAAAGAAATCTTCCCTAATTTGGTGAAGGAAATAGACATGCAAGTCCAGGAAGTACAGAGTCCCAAACAAGATGGATGCAAAGAGGCCCGCTTCAAGACACACCATAATTAAAATGCCAAAGGTTAAAGAAAGAATCTTAAAAGCATCAAGAGAAAAGACATTACTGTAGTTACCTATAGGGGAGTTCCCATAAGACTGTCAGCTGATTTCTCAAAAGAAGCTTTGTAGGCTGGAAGGGATTGGCAAGAAGTATTCAGATATAAAAAGCAGGGACCTAAAGCCATGATCACTCTACCCAGCAAAGCTATCATTGAGAATCGAAGGGCAGATAAAGAGCTTCCCAGACAAGAAAAAACTAAAGGAGTTCATCATCACCAAGCCATTATTATATGAAATGTTAAAAGGACTTACTTAAGAAGAAGATCAAAACTATGAACAATAAAATGGCAAAAATACATATCTATCAACTACTGAATCTAAAAAACAAACTAAGCAAACAATAAGAACAGAGATAGTATCATAGATTAGGAGAGTATTTTGATGGTTGCCTTATGGGAGGGGTGGTATCTGGGAATTGGTGAAGAGGTGAGGGGATTAAGAAGTACAAATAGGTGGTTACAGAGTAGCCATGGGGTGTAAAGGACAGTATAGGAAATGGAGCAGCCAAAGAACTTACAGGAATGACCCATGGACGTGAACAATGGTGTGGGGATGGCCTGGTAGAGTAGGGGGTGCTGGGTGGAGAGGGAGCAAAGGGGAAAAATCAAGACAACTGATTTTTTCAGTAATAGCATAATAGCATAATTTTTCAGTAATAGCATCATCAATAAAATATAATTTTAAAAAATTGAAAAAAGTTGGATGCAAGACTATTACAGCATGAACTCAATTGTATTAAAAATGTCTAGCAAGTGGAGGTGCTTCTTTTGGGGAATGGCATTTGAGGTGATTATTTTCTTTCGTAAAAAAACAACAACAAAATTTTCTATACTTGACGAATTTTCCACAATGGGCTAACCCTCTCAGTAAGGAGCCTACTCCCCTCCTTCTTTTGTTCACATCACCTGGAAATGTCATACTTCACTATATTTGAAATGACCCCCAAACCTCACCTTTCATGGCCTCCTGAATGTGTTTCTCTAGGTAGTACTTTCGGAGCTCATCATTTTCCGGAGCTGGGTCGTCGATGCCATTGGCGGTGATGTAAACATCCAGGTCCCCATAGTTCCTCCGGATCCAGCTCAGCACCTTCCGCTCCCCCCAGGGCAGGACGGCCAGGCGGCTGGGGGAGCTCAGGCAGGTGATGTCCTGCAGAAACTGCACGTCCCTGTCCGCGTCGTAGTGGCTGCCGGCCCGGCGCGCGTGCATCACAAACCTGGTGGTGAAGTGGTTCAGGGCGTAGAAGTCCGCGGCGCCCTTGACCAGGCTCCTCTCCTCCTCCGTGAACTGAGGCAGCGTGGAGCGCGACAGCCCTTGCCTGTTCTTGAAGGCGATGTACTCCCTCATGGCCACGGGGTAGTCCCCGGTCCTGAAGAGGGGTTCTGCGAACCAGGCGATTTCGAACTGGAGGAAGCGCTCCGCCGCCTGCCGGTGCAAGTCCACGTAGGGGTTGGCGGGTTCCGCCCAGTCCGAGTGCAGCGACAGCGACACCGCCCCGCGCTGCGCGGGCCTGTATAGCCGGTCGTAGAGGTGCCAGGCCAGGGCGTGGGCGATCAGCAGGTTGTGGGCTGCCCTGTATGTGTCATTACCAGTGTGGTTGTAGATGTCAGTCAGCCGGTTGGGCTCGTTGATGGTGATCCAGAGCTTCACCAGGTCCCCCAGCTCTTGGAAGCACAGCCCTGCGTAATCCTCGAAGGCCTTGGCCAACGAGGGGTTCAGCCACCCCCCACTCTGCAGCAGTGGTGGGGGGAGGCCAAGGTGCGCGTGGGTCGGGTAGTACAACGTGACCATTGGGGAGATGTTGAGCTTCAGGCCCTCACTGACCACACACCTGTAGTACCTAAGAGCTTGGCGGTTAACAGCGGACAGGTTGCCAGCCGGAAGGATCGAGGCCCAGTCCAGAGCAAACTTGTAATGGGTGACTTTCATCTTTGCCAACATCTCGAGCTGTCTTCTGATGCCGACAAAATCTGTGCATTGACGTGGCCGAGTTTTCAGCTTCACTCCGTCCACTCGGTGCAACACTCTGTTGCCTGTCACGTTCCACACATACAGGTGAGGGTCCGTGAACTGTGGGGAGGAAGCCACCAGTTCCGGCTGTGAAAAACAAGCACATTCAGGTAAAGCACACTCACATGGACAGGCTGTTAGGGACAGGCTGTTAGGGAGGCCTCATCCTACAGGGTCCTAGGGAGTAGGGCCTGCTTGAGTGTGGTTGGTAGGGTAATAATATGGGTGTAATAATTTATAGGCTTTTTAAAAAAAGATTTTATTTATTTATTTTTTAGAGACAGGGTAAGGAGATAGAGAGGGAGAGAAACATCAATGTGTGGTTGCCCTTCATATGCTCCCCACTGGGGACCTGGCCCACAACCCAGGCATGTGCCCTGACTGGGCATCAAACTGGCAACCCTTTGGTTCACAGGCCTGCACTCAATCCACTGAGCTACACCAGCTAGGCATAATTTATAGTTTTAATTTGAACATTTCACCTAAAATGTCATATGGTGAGCTTAAGTGTGATATTGTTATATACAGAATTAACATGCTTATGATTTTGCAATAAAAGGTTTTGTAATTAAGTAAAGGGACATTGTTCATGCCAGACCCTGTATTTTTCCTCTCACTGACAATAAAGTACATGGTGCATATGTCCTTTATAATGACCTGTGTGTTCCAGGTGTTCTGGTGATGTCAGAGGCAAGGCCTGTTGGATTATCTTCCTTTCCAGTCCTTGAAATTCCCAGGGAGACAGGGTAGGAACCACACCTGGCTTGGAAAATAAGTTGTTTTTACAGAAAACACTGACAAAGACAAGCTGTTTTCCACTTCATTTTTCCTAAACACGTAGGTCATGTCATGGGGTCTCATGTGATTCTGTTCAAATGCATCAGGATATTGGCCTGGTTCCCTCGGTTGAAAGGAATCATGAACAATGGGCCCTTCAAATACCGCCGTAGATTGAAGGCAAAGTTAAAATTCCAGTGGCAGAGGATTTCACTGAGATCAGCTCTTGGGGTGAGAGGAGGCTCGTTGATCCCAAACACGGTTCCTAAAAGAAGCCTGTAGGACGGGGTAGGGGATGAAGCCTTGCATTTGCTGATTGCAAATCTCTAACACGCTCTGTTTGAATAGTCTAAGTGGTGTCACCAGACATGCACCATTATATTCTCCCCACCTGTGTGCCTATGAGGACATAGCATTTATTCATCCAGCTGGAGAACATGGAACACCCTCTTAATGCAAGCTACTTGGATTATGAGCAGAAAGGACAGGAAAATACCTGCCAGAAACTCCCAGGTTGACTCTCTGATCTGATGGCGTCTCATTCCCCGCCTCTCCATCAAGGAGACAGCCCTGGACTACTGTTCTGCCCCTTTGACAGGCAGGCTCGGAGGCTCTGTATGGTGACCGAGCAATCTCACTCACCCCGCGGGGTGTGCTGCGGGGAGGCAATGGCTCTGGGAAGGTGCTCTGTCAACTCTAAAGCAGTGTACAAACATAAGGTAGACATGACTTGGGTTTGGTTTTCCCTGGTTGGAATAGTTGCCTGCTAGGCCTTTTACTCTAAATTAAAACAGAAAAAGGCTTAAGAAAAAAACATGTCCAAACGCAAAGAGTAATGAGAAAAAGTAAAATTTTTTAGAAAATTTCTTGTTTTATGTACTTGTTTTAAAGTACTTTTCTTCTCAGGGCTGTCTTTAAGTGCACCTGGAAAAAATGACAATTAACCTTTGGTAAATATTTTCCCTCTAATTGTTTTCTCATGTGTCATTTTTCATAGTCTAATTACAAAACCATATCACTGCTCTCTTGCCATCTGTCAACCAGTTATCTAGAACATTAAACTGAGAGAACATTGATCATGTGAGCATGAAGTTAAATCTGTATATAATTATTTGGGTAAAACCCTCCTAGCCTAGATGGCCAGTTGCAGTGCTTTGAAACGCCCGAGCATCATGGTAATGATACAGTGTTTACAAAGGTCAATCTTGCCATAGGCAAGGCCAGAGCAAATGAAAATGCCTTACTTTTAAAAACCTCCAGAAAGCCCTGGCCAGTGTAGCTTGGTGGATTGAAGTGTCATCCCATACACCAAAAGGCTGGGGATTCCATCCTGATCAGGGCATGTGTGGGTGGGAGGCAACCAATCAGTGTTTATTTCTCTCTCTCACATTGACGTTTTCTCTTTCTCTCTCTCCCCCCCTCTAAAGATCAAAAAACATATTAAAAAAAAACCTTCGGAAAGCATTAGTCTTAGCAAGTGGGTGTAATTAATCTGCTAGGGATCTAGATAAAAATGATGCAGCCTGATCTCAACCCTAGCACCCAGAGCTTGGTTCTAAAATTCTATTCCCTGTGAAAATGATCCTGAGCTCTTTGGAGAAAAATGGCTTTTTCCAAGCCTGGGGCAGGAAAAGAGTGAGATGATGCTCATACACCTTCTACCAGAACAATAAGGAAGTGCTTAAAAACAGAAAAGAAAAAGACAAAAGCTTGAAGGAGTTCTTTTGGCCAAATTTGAGATAATTTGAGCATCAAAGGGTCTAATGAAATAAAGACAACAGTGTGTTATAACACAAGTGAATTTTTAAAAATTACCTCATTAATTTAGAATTGGTAATCTAATTAGAATTTCACCATGTTGCAATTTATAAAGTAATAATTCAGGCAAGATTCGTGAATCAATATTAAGGCCATTGGGTGAAATGCTGTTAAGGAACAGGATATTTGTATGGTCTCAAGTATCACCATTAGATTACTTTTTAATTACAAACAGAAAAGGTACCTTTCAATTAAGAAGAGATCTGGCAAGCCCTGGCTGGTGTAGCTCAGTGGATTGAGCACGGGCTGCGAACCAAAGCATCACAGGTTCGATTCCCAGTCAGGGCACATACCTGGGTTGCAGGCCACGGCCCCTAGCAACCACACATTGATGTTTCTCTCTCTCCCTTCCCTCTCTAAAAATAAATAAATAAAATCTTAAAAAAAAGAAGAGATTTGGCAAATGCCACTTTAACCAGGGAATTTGGTGACTACCACTTTTAACATCATTAACAATGAAACAAACGATCAAGTACCTTCTGATGTATATTTCGAATACACATCATGTATGTACTATTATTTCCAGAAACAGTTAACTGAATCTTATAAAGGAACAGAGAAATCAATAAGGCATTCCATAAGCAACTGGCCTGGATTCTTCAAAAAAGTCAGTACTGTGAGGTTGAGGAGATTGCTCTGAATTAAATGAGGCTAGAGATGCATGAAAACCAATGTGATATCCTTGTTTGTGATCAAATTTTTAAAAAACATTTTTGGAACACTTAGGAAAGCTTGAATATGAATATTATGTTAGATGATATTCAATCAATACTAAATTTCCTGGGTTTGATAGTATTATAGTGAGGTAGGGGAATGTCTTTGTTCTTAGGGAACACATGCTGAAATATTTTGGGGTGAAGTATTTGCCACTTTTCAACAAGTCATAAGAAAGAGACAGAGATAAAGCAAATGTGGACAAATGTTAACAATAGGTTAGTTGTAGTCCAAATTAAGGGAAGCTGACTTCTTGCTGGGCTGCAGATGTGAGCATGAAACCCAGACCTAGCTGATTACAGAATTACTTTTCCCTGACCCAAATGATCAGCTCTTGATTCTAGGACTAGGACTAGGGCTGTCAGAATGGGGCAGACATTCACATTGCCCATGAATGTGGAAGAGAGGGAGGTCTTTAGGTGAAGGAGGAAATCGCAGATTGGGTCATGTATGAGCAGGAGCTCTTGTCTCTCTTGGATCTCTCTTTGCTGGGTCTGCAATTTTGGAAAATGCAAACCCATTTGAAGTGGTAGCGGAAAGATGGCTGCATGCCTATGGCATGTGGAGGAGCAGATAGGAACTGGGTAGGTAGGTGGCTCTATAGGGGGCACCAGCTGAAGGTGACTCACTGTGTTTATATGACTCCTTGTATCTTTCCCCCTTTTATCAACTCCAAGCCTCTGAGTCTTGTTTAAATATCGACACGGTTTGAGATTCATAACCTGGAACTTTGCCCACTCATGGTTTGGGCCCTTTTGTCCAGTCCCATCCCTTGCACATCTTGTCTTTCCACATGCTTCTAGAACAGGCAGTAGTGGGTTCTGTGAGGTTTTACAGTCATCAGAAGACTGAGCTTGGTAACCTAGACAAGTTATGTAACCTCCCTAAACTCCGATTTCCTTGCCTATAAAATGAGGGTTTTTAGATTAGACAGAGAAAATGTGAGTACATCCAGGTAAATGCATGGCATGTAATAAGGGTTTTAAAATAGTTGTTATTATTTTGGAAAGGGCACTGTGCATCTGGAGCTTGAGGGTGGTCTGTTACAGTTCTGTTGACATTTGTGTGACCTTGGGCAAGTCCCTTAGGTATCAATTACTAATTGATGTATCTCACTTTCCTCATCCATAAAATGAAGGATTTGGAATAGGGAGTCCCTACACCCTCACCTGGCTCTAAAAATGCATCTGACCTGGCTCTAAATGTTGACCTTATTCATCCACTATGCATTGAGTCTCACACTACTCTAATAAGGTACACAGTAGGCAGCAAATCCTCAAATGTCTCCACCTTGTGCAGAGACAGTTTGCACCCTATTGGGGCAGACAGGTGGTAAATAAGAAGAATGTGTGGAGTGATTACCAGGGTCTGGGGGTGGGGGAAGTGGGATGATATGGGTCAAAGGGTACAAACACCCAGTTATAAGATTAGTGAGTTCTGGGGATCTATCTAATCTACAGCATGGTTATTCCAGCTCATAATACTGTATTATATACTCAAAAGTTGCTAAGACGGTAGATCGTAAGTGCTCTTACCACAAAAAGAAACGGGAATTGTGTAATGGTATGGAGGTGGTAGCTAATGCTATGGTGGTAATTATTTTGTGATATATACACGTATCAAGTCAACAAAAGCTATATGTCTTACACTTATGCAGTATTGTTATATCAATTATGTCCCCAAAGCTACAACCTAGAAAAGAAAAAATGTGTGAAGTACATAGTATGTTAGATAGTGAGGAGAGCTGTATACAAAAATAAAGCAGGGGCCCTGACCAGGTAGCTTAATTAGAGCATTGTCCCAGTACACCAAGGTTGAGGGTTCAATCTCAGGTCAGGACATATACAAGAATCAACCAATAATACATAAGTAAGTGGAACACCAAATCAATGTTTCTCTGTTTGTATCTCTTCCCTCCCTATAAAATCAATAAGTAAAAATTAAAAAAAAGTAAAGCAGGAAAGTGGGATGAGAGGTGATAATGATGAGATTATGATTTTTTGGAGTAAATGGAAGCGTTTTTGAGAATGTGGCATTTGAATAAATGTTGGAAGGAGGAGAGGAATGAGGCATGTGGGAGGCCCCTCAGATACAGAAACCTCATAAGGCAAATTAGTCGAATCTATCCAATAACAGGAGTCACTTAAATAAAGGAGCTCTAGTAATTTGCTGTTGGTGAAACAAAAATCTGTTAAAAATTTTTCCCTGTAATTTTGACACTACTAACAAATACCTCTCTCAAAAATAACTAAGTTCTCTCTAGACTGTGTGGTTCTTGGGGGCCATCTCTTCAACTCCCTCACGAAGTTCTCCGTCACGAAGTTCTCTGTCACGAAGTTCCCCGTCACGAGTTGTGTCGAGTGGAGGGCTCTCAGGAAACATTAATTCTTCTCTTCCCCTTCCTTCCACTTTCCCCACTTTCCCTTCATCGCCTCCCAGGAACCATGGTATTTGATGTTGTCTGACAGCCATCTCTTAGCTGTCACTGAGTCAACGAAATCCAATATTGTATACTATGTGTCCCACTTTATAGCTCATTTGTAAGCAGCCACTTACCTTGAGGACAGACTCAGTGACACCCCAGGAGAAGTCGCAGGGGAACTGGCCCTGCATGTCTGGTGTGGACTCTTTCAGAGTAAAGCCATTTTCTTGTATGATCTGCTTGTAGTAATGTGCGGAGGACTTGGGCTTCCTTTCTTTTTGTTTACTGTTAAAATCCACATAAAATAATCCTCGGCGTGTGGAGTAACCATCCTGCCATTCAAAGCCATCCAGGAGAGACCAGGCCGTGTAACCAAACACTTGTATTTTATCAAACCTTATTGCTGCACAGAGAGAGAGAGAGAGAAAAAAAAAAAAAAGCAGAGATGTTGGGAGGCCTGAACACACTGGGTCATGTTTCTGACTTCGCTAACAACATGCCGGGGGACAGCATGTTGTGAAACCAACCTTTTGCCTAATTTATAGGCCCATTACATCAAGTAGAAAATTCATGTTTCTCTTTGAAAAGTGGCAGTTATTTTCATCCAGAATGGCCCTCCCCCAACAAGTGGATGACACAGTGAAAGGCTTAAACTGAAAATATTCCTGAGACTTTGTGTGCCAATCTGTTTCAGAGGGCACGGTAGTTCCTGGAACTCTTCAGGACAAGTGTCTGCTCACGACCAGGAGTTCCTCATCCCAAGTTTGGGTGGGTTCCCATCTGTGGACGAGCTGTCTTCTAGGAAACTATCCTTCAGGGACTGAAAGATCTGCTTGCAGAATGAAATAAGTGAGTGTAAATACAAGGAGGAGAAAGTCGTACAGAACTCACTGGGCCTAGGGGCAGGAGGTGGGAGGGGACTGTTGGGCAAGTTTCTTGACTTCAGTTTCCTCATTTGTCAACAGAAAAGTCTGGAAAATATGATCTCTCAGGGCCTTTCTGACTTTAACACTCGGATTCAATAACTTTCAGGAATTGGGTCAAAATGAGATATGAAAATCTGCAGCAGCAGTAAAATCAACAGATACCCCAAATCAGCCAGGAACCTTTTTTTTTTTTTTTTTTTTTACTAAAAGCTTCCATTTCTCTCATAGAAATGCCTCGCTTCTGCATTTTGGGGGGTTTATCACTGACACCCTTTTCTTAAAGGTAGGCAATCTTGGCCACGAGATTTCCGTTGGTGTTGTAGGGTGCTGAGAGAGGTAGGAAGTTAACGCCTGGGAAATGATTCCCTTCCACCCAAGTATGTGGCACTGGCCGAGGCCCCCCCCGTTCTGGAGGTCCCCGCGTGCGTGCGCCCGTGCCTGGGTGTGGCTCGGCTGCACGCTGCCCCTTCCCGCAGGTCAGGCAGCAGGGTCGTGTGCTCCCTGGAGACCCTTCCTGAAGGCCCTCTTCAGTAGAACCTGGGATTTTCCCCCAGGTTTGTGGCTCTTAAAGAGAGCTACAGAGTTTTAGAAGGATCCACCGAGAATTCCTTTATATTTGCATGAAATGCAGCCCAACTCTGCAAGACAGAACCATCATAATTTGAGCTGATCTCCATTACTTCAATCAGCCACCTGTAGATGTCACCACTTGAGTAATGGAAAAGGAATGAGGGGATAAGTAAGGGTCCAAGAAATATCCAGGGTCCACAGAAATGACTCAGCTTTGACATCCAGGGCTCATTCTCTGTCATCAGAACTTTTCATCAGTTAGACATGTGGTAGAGTGAAAGGAGCAATTTCAAGAGAGCTGTCAGCATTTCAGACTAAAGCACTTCTGTTATAAAAACTTCGGACATATCTTTCTTTGCCGTATGTCCTTTTTGAAAGAATGAAGCAGCATCTTGTTGCCAATTAAGGATGCATCTACAGTCTAAAATTATTTTGTTCTCAAGCTTTCATTAAAAATGGACATGAGAGTAACCTTAAAAAATTCTGTCACCATTGGACAAAAGGCCAGCAACAAGAATAGTAATTATATATTCAAAGGTGACTTTAATAGAGATACCTCAGAAAACTAAAAATGGATCTGCCATTTGACCCAGTGATCCCACTGCTGGGAATGTATCTGAAGGAACCCAAAACACTAATTTGATAAAACACAATAAGCACCCCTACGTTCACTGCAGTGTTATTTACAATCACCAATATATGGAAGCAGCCCAAGTGTCCATCAGTAGAGAGTAGATAAAACAACTATGGGACATTTACACAATGGAATACTACTTGGCTGTAAAAAAAAGAAGAAAATTTTACCCTTTGCAACAGTGTGGATGGACCTGGAGGGCATTACGCTAAGTGAAATAAGCCAGTCAGAGAAAGACAAATATCATGTGATTTCACTCATATGTGGAATCTAATGAACAAACTGAACTAACAAGGAAAATGGGAACAGAATCATAGATGGAGAGCAGGATAGATGAGAGCTAGTGGGTCGGGGGAGGTTAGGGGGTGAGGGGATTGAACTAAAAAAGAAAAAGGACTCATGGACATGGACAACAGTGTGGTGGGGGGAGGGGGGTCTAAGGGGGCTAACTGGTAATGGAAAACAATACAATAAAGATGAAAAAAAACAAAGGTGACTTTAAATATCCTATAGCATAAATATTCAAAAAGCTTTTTAAAAATTGAGCGAACGGACAACCAACCTTGAAGAACGTGGTTGAGGGAATTCTTCATCATGTAGATGGCCGTGGTATCCTCTGTTTTCACATGACTGTTCGTGAACCAGCCATTCTCAGTGATCAAGACTCGGGGGTTGCCGTATTCCAGCTTAATCCAGTTCAGCACTTCTCTTAAATTGAGTGACACATTTTGTCCCATTTTCGGCATGGTGTTCTGGGGCTTGAAATTGTTGGGCCCAAAGGAAAAGGCAAAGAAGTCAGCTGTGCCCCTCACCTCTTTCTTCTCTGCTTCGGAGAAAAGGGGCAGAGCGGAGAGCAACTGCTTTCTCATCAGCTCCGGATAGTCGCCGTCCCCGTGGATGGGGTTGGCAAACCACCCGAGCACAGAGACCACGGACTGCTGGCACTTGAGTATGTCCTCCGTGCTTTCCGGTCGGTTGGGTTCAACCCAATGGGATCCCAATGTGATCGATAACCAACCTTTCTGACGTGGGCGGAAATTTATGTTGTAGTTATGCCAGACTTTCGAATGAGCCTAAGGAGAGGAAAATATTATTAACCTTTTTGGTCCTTACAAGGGCTCTGACTTGGCTGGTAGAAGGTCTTTTCATCGACAAATGAATGAAGGCAGCATAGGGTGATGCAGGGAAAAGCTGCCCGGAAACCCCGATGACCTCAAACTTGTTTCTCTGTCCACTTCCCCTCAAGCCCCTCCTGTAGGATGTCCGAAAGGCATGCAGAGAGCTGTAGTCCAAACTCCATCTTACTTCCCTTCTCCCTGACTGCCTTTCCGGGGCCTTCTTGGGGCTGGGTGCAGGCCAGATATGATGTGGATTATGGGATTTCTTCCTTTAGATAAAAAGACACAGCAGTGATCTCTCATTGTTCTACAGAATCCCCTTTTGGCTGTAACTTAGAAGTCCAGGATCATGCAGGCTCTAAGTTCTGTAAATGAATAATAATAGAGCCCACCTCCGAGGCTTGTTGTGAGGATTGAATGAATTAATGTAGGGAAAGGGCCTCAGAACAGTGCTGGCACAGAGTAACCTCTATAGAAGCCTCAACTATTGTTGCTGTTATTATAAAAGTGTGGCAGGATGGCCCAAGGCAGAAAACCGGGGGAAAGTGTGGGCCTTGAGGTCGGCACACTTGGGCCTGAGGTTCAGGCATTTAATGTGCGGCCTTAGGTAAGTCACTTAACTTTTCTGAAATCTGTTAGGATCCTCAGTTGTACAATGAAGCAAAAAAAAAAAAAATACCCCTTTGTAAAGTTGTTTTTAGTCATACAGCTAATGCATATATTAAATATGTAGCACAGAATAGCGCACCTAGGAGCTACTGCCTACAGGTGGGTGTTATTATTATTAGACCTCCCAGAGTTTACATTTCCATCTGAGTTCTTATAACAGAGCCTCATGCTCAGTTTCCAGTCTGTTTAGTAGGTACGAGTGCTTACTCAATGCTTGTCTTGTCTGCCCTGAGAGGCTGCAATAAATGGAATAGGAACTTGCCCTCAGGAACCAATAGGAAAGTAAGACTGAAATGTGTGAAAAAGAAATATATAAAATGGTATAAAATAAGGCATTAAATGAAAACATATTTAAAGCAAAACATCATGCTTCTGTAAAGAGCTGTGAGCACTATTGGAATGAGGAACAAACGGTAAGGACTCCAATTAAGGACTCTGGGCCAGTTAAATGCCCACGTCCAGTCCTCTGTCCTGGCCAGTCATAAAGTCATCTTTTGTCTGAGTTCATCTCTTTCCCTCAGCACTTGACTTGCTTGCCTCTTTCCAGCTCTCCTAGTTTCTCCTCTATTTGGCTATTTCTAAAACAAGTGTGCACACCCTTACTTTTAACCCACAAAGTCTGCTTGCAGTTTTGTCCCTTAGCTTTGCTTTTGCTCATGAGAGATTTTTTTTTATAATGGGTTGAATTCTCTGAAAGTGCCTTTCTATAGATCAAGAACAATCAAATATGCACAAGGGTTCAAACCTAGTACTCCCTGTGGACACCAAATATGTTTTATAAACTCTGTTAGGTCAAGAAAATGACTTTTTTCTCCTCATGTAAGGGGTAAAGATTCCCAGACTGGTTCCTCATTGCTTTATGCAGGAAGAGCTCATTGAAATTATTCCCTGAAAGATTTTCTGAAGTAGATGTCTTGAGGTAGTACATCTGCCTATCTGGTCTTACTTGGTTTTCATTGGAACGTTCTGAAGCCATTTGGCACCTAAATGTTCTCAAGGATCTTTCAGAATGCTCTTCTGTGAAAGCAGGAGGCCTCAGGCTGTGGCCTCTTCCCCTCCCTCCACCCCGAGTTTCTAGAAGGAATCGCAGGGGAGCTGGGGACAGATGCCACCTTCAGTGGTCTCAGCTGCTCTTTCTGCACTTTTCTGGGCCAGGAACCACAAAGTATAGTCTTGAGAACTGCATTTTTTTTCTTCTTATTTGAAACAACAGCAGTCATGCATTACTAGAATGCTTTGCTTTATTCTAATCAGTCGCTTCAGCCATCAGCGCGTGTCTTCAGGGCTGTTGTGCACTTCTGATGTGTCAACTGTAAAGCTCTGAACACAGATGAGATCCTGAGCCAGAAACTCACTGCCTTGCAAACACAATGCCACCAGACACTGAAGGGACAGTGAGATGGAACTGGCATCAATGTATTAAACTCAGTCCTAACAGAAACGAGCCAGTCCTGATAGGAAAAAGAAGTTGGGGAAGGAGTTTCTTTAAAGTAGATGTTCTATTGTGTATTTTGCTGAGTATATGAAAGATGGTCTAAGTAGTGATAAAATCTTGGTTGCTTTAGCATTTTAATGAGAAATAGGACAGCTTAGAAGACAACAGATATGTACCTTTGCAGTACCTTTTCAAGCAAGTTTTCTGGATATATGTATGTACATAATGTGTTGTCGTGCCCCAAGGTGACCTTCATGTTCCACTGTGTCTCTTTAACCTTCGCTGCTGTTTGCACAGGCTATCAAGGTATCTAGGGTTATCTTTGCTCTGGGCTGAAGACAGCCTCTCCATTCCCGTAGAGAATGTGGGGGAGGTTCTTTGTGCAGTGCATATACTTATAACTAGATCCTGTTTGCCAAGTAACAGGGTAAAAAGTATTGCTCAGAGATAGTGTGTTCGACATAAATCTGGATGAACAGATATATACGTGTCCCCTGGTCTGATGCTCATAAAGGAGGTCTGGTGAAAAAACAAAAACAGGGTCGGTAGGGGAGAGCGACCTGGCCCTGCAACCTTGCACAACAGTCATTCTGCGATTTTCCAAGGTTACCCTCTATCTGTACAAGGCCACCTACCTTTGGAATGATTGATTTAAGGGAGCTTCAACCTTTGTTCTTTAAATTCAGTAGCTGAAAGGGGAAGTCAGCAGCTTTTTCTTTTCTGAGTCAGCTCTCAGGGCCTCATGTCATTGAGAGGCAGCTGCTAGTCTAAGGTAGCTGTTCTCTTTGATGCCCCTGGCAATCCAGGCTCAGATAAGTTCTATGGGTGATAGGAAGCAAATAAGATAGCTGGCACAACTTTGGAAACAAAGATGAAGAAGGGGTTAGAGGTCAGGAAGACATGGCAGGGCCCTGGTGGGTGGGAGTGCTGTGGAGGGCATGGGTTGTCAGCAAACCTCGCGTGTTGTATTTGTCTATGTTTAAGGAACCTCCAATCATTTGCCAAAAGTTAAATTTTCAAATATGTGTGTCATTTTACTCACATTGTGGCTGAACTAACTTCATGAAAACTACAAACTTGGGTGTTGTTAAAGCTATTTAACAAAGTATTAAGTTATAGAATTCTAATTTCCATGATAATATTACTAAATTAAATTAATGCCTGAGCCAAAATCTAAACCTGGCAACACAAAGGGAAAAAGGTCTAGAATGAAGTTCATAATTAAACGAAGCATCTGTGGGTTTCCCCAGATATTAGGAGGGAGTTTAGAAGAAATCAATATTAGCAAATTGGAGCTTTACTGAAGTTCAGGTTCTGTGCCCAGAGATAACATTTGCCTGCCAGTTTTGCAGAGGACGGGTGATATTTTAAGCTTTCCGTTATTATCAAGTTAACACGAGTAATCCTGTTAGTAATTTTTTTCATGCAAAAGGACCATATGTCAGAGTATAATTACAGCTAAAATAACCTGGGTTTGTAACTTGAAGTCTTTCCTCAGGATTTAGGAACGAAGAGTTAAAGACAGTCAGTATAAAAGCCACTCTGGAAATCTCAAATAATATAATTCTTACAATGACCAAAATAAGGCCCCATTTTGGGGTCTTCAAGAAAGGCAGATTTGCCATGAACCCAAGGATGCTGAAGCTTCAGGGGCCCTGACTTACCTGGGTTCTTGTGAGATGTTCTACCTGGGTTGGGAGTCAGGCTGTGAGTGGAAGCATTGCTAGGTAAGTATTCCTCATAAATGTCCTAAAGGGATCTCAGGAAAAAAAGAATCTGAATCTCTAAGACTACAGTAATTTGTTGTAAGATTTTCCTCATTCAAAATAAAAGTTCACTTTTATACCACCTTTTGCGTTTATAATATGTGTTTTATACATGTTTTTTACAGAGGGCCTCCAGACTGTCTGAGTCTCAGGCCACCGCCACGCGCCTCCACACCTGGCCTGTGAGCTTCTTGAGAGCGGGGACTGCATCCGTTGTGTCCCCAGCTGCGCATACAGAGCCCAGGGAAGAGCCTGGCATGCAGTACCTGGGAGTGAATGCCCACTAGGAGCCAGCTAGGAGTATGCTGGTCACCTGAGACATATTTTGCATAATACAGCCTCTGTAAGGCAGATTTTATTATTCTCATTTTAGAGAAGAAACTGAAGTTTCCACAGGCTGGATAGTGGCGGAGCTAGGATTTGAACCCAGGCCTCCCTGATCACTCTACTATACCCTCCTTCTTTCTGTATGTCCCAATTCTAAATTTCAAAGCTGTTAGGGGAAAGGCCACTGGGCATGAACCACAGCACACTGTTTTAAAATTATATTTTCTTTCTGCTGAACTTGGTTATTAAAAGAACTAAACAGTCCTACAGTGAAGGCACAATATTCCATTCTGCATGCTGAGAGGAAAATATCTATATATGCCTGGAATTCAGGATCACCTAGAAGGATCCCGGAAGACTTGCCAGCAGACTTGGAGTGTTCAGAAAACCATGCCATTGCCCAAGTGCCTAGCACAGCATGTACCACTTATGTCAACCCTCTGCCCCAGTATGGGCAAGGGACACCGCCCTCACCAGTGTCAGAGGCTACGTGAATTCCTGATGCGCTGCTTCTACACTTGACTTTCTTGACTAAGGACAGTGATCTTCACACCAGTGTCAATGTTAGACAGAGAGGGCAGGGATGCTGTGTTTGCATAATGCCTAACACAGCATCGTTATTAATGATCCTTGAGGATGAGTGACTTCCTTGGTCAAACATAGCAGAGCAGTGATGAAATCACAAAGCCATAGAAAATCAATCACAGAAACAGTGACGAGAATGAACATGTATTAGTACCAAATGCGTCCGGCACTGT